AGTACATCTATTATTGGATCCCACACTTCTTGGAATTTCCATATTGGATTAAAAATGAGTTTGTGTTCCTTCTAGCACAGAGTTATTCTCACTATCTGTCCTCTCTGATGGCTCGCCGTGGGTAGGATTGGCTTTTACAACACGGGGAAATTTCAAACGACAGCAGCTGAATAAGCAGAAGTCACACGTTCCATTATTAATCGGTCGGATTTTTGGAATTACCCCAAAACAGCTGTTCTTAAAAGATGGTGGTATCAAAGAGAAACATCAAAAACTGACTCATCCAGCATAAATAAAACACTTAAAAGTTCCATTTCACTTGTGCATGGTGTTGAGAGTTAAATCCTTTTTTGTAATGCTTAAAATTAGCATCTTGAGGTTTGTTGCTTCTCATAGTCAATCAAAATTATTCCAATTTGTGAATCCACTTTTTTTTTGTGCGCGTAAAACATTCACATGACACATGTACAGGAGATTTCTCTGTAATTGCAGTAATTATGACAAGCATTTAAAAGGCTGTTTTAATTTCCTCATTTGGCATGGGAGGAGCTAAACGCTAAAGAAGTGTATATGTGTGTCTGAGAGAAAGAGAAAGAGAGCTGGCCATACAAAGACATTTCCCTGAAGCTTAAAGGTGGAGATTACTTCAGGGTGAACTCGCACCTTTACGATTGTTGTTTGCGTGACCGTTGACCTGCAGCACACCTTATCTGCGGGATTAGGGAGGCAGGCAGTCACAAGAGAATAGAAACTCCGATGCTTCAGTGTGCTCTCGGCTTCTGTCTGCGTGTTAGACACCTGAAAATGAAATTATCCTGACGGCGTGCCAGAAATTTTCTTTATTTAGACATTTTTTTTCCAAATCATTATTTGGCTTGGAGGACTTTCTGGGGTTTTTTTGTTGTGGAAAATGGTTCGTTTCGGTCGCCTGTCATCCTGGCATAGCTGGGACCTGCTGCAAGTGGACACAGAGGCTCCCGAGTCGCCGCCTCCTGACAGAAAGCCCGCGGCGAGTAACTGTCAGGTGAGAGGTTTGTGGACCCACGCTGAGATTGAGGATTATTTAACATTTGTGTAATCTCTCTGTGTCTGTTCAATAATGCAACGAGTGGTTTCAGGAAGTAGAAACAGGCTTTGCTGGGGTTTTTTTTTGCCACACATGATGGTAAACTGCATCACGGTTTGGAACTTTTGATTGAAACAAAAAGGTATAATCTTGCTCCATGGTAAATTTGTGTTTGGTATTTTGTCACTCTTGTGTGGCTTTAAAAGGTAAAACAAGGCTCTGTTGATTCTGCTGATTCTGCTGTCCTCAGTATGGTGAAAGTGAGGTGTCAGGGGCTGATTTTGGAATCGAAACCGAGGTGTCCTTAGAATTTGTGTGTGTTGCTGACCAGTGTGTGCCGGTCGCCGGCGATTCTTGTGGTTTCTATTTCCTGGCTGTGCACCACGTGGCGTATGCGTGTGTGTGTGTGTGTTTGCCCGGGCTTGGTTTGAGTCTGAACTTTCAGGAAGGTCAGTGTCACGCTGTTTTCCCATCGTTAATCAGCCCGCCTGATCAAGGGGAGTCGTTATCAGTTGACTACCATAAAGGCAGTAGCAAGATGTGGGGGGAAGGTGAGAGAAGGGTGGGGGGTTTGCTCTCTTTGTCATCATTTATTTCAATACAGTCTTTTCTCTTTTTCCAAACCAAGGTTAACCTAGGCTTATCCACTGTGGTATGATATCATTAACCTGACTAGACTCACCCCACAAGTTGGATTTCCCAAAGTGAGTCCCTTTACAACGAGGAAAGAGATCAGGGCCCCGCTGCCCCGATCTATGACTGACAGGTTTACACAGTAGACACAAGGGAAACCTTGTAAACATAATGAGATAGGCAGACCTGAATAGAGCCGCTTAATGTTTGCTGGGAGGCCGCATTTTGCTCTGGCTGAAGAGTAATTTGACAGCGCCTAAAGAAACCCACTCAAAGAATTAACGCGTTTTGTGTCAGGGACTAAGAATCAATCTTTATCATCCATTGCTAACTTGTTGGGATCTGGTAGTTTCGGGTCCGAAAGGTTGTTGGCATGTGCTTTTGTCTGCCTATCTGTTCAGCGTGAGCGCCTGTCAAATGTGCTGAGATAAACAAAGGGGATTTCCCGTTTGACCATTATTTTGGAAAATAATTTCCTTGTTTTTTTGCCGTCTAGCGTGGCATTGTTCAAAGGTCTCCGAGCAAAACGGTGACTGGACCTAACAAAGTGCTGAGTTGCTCAATAAAAAAAAATAAAAAAACAATAAAAAAAAGACACGGCCACCCTATAATCATCCCGGTATTATTAGACTAATTCAATGAAAAAAAAGTAAGTGGATCTTAGCTTTCTGGTGCGTTTCCATGATGAGGCTGACCCGTGGAGCATTGGGTCACTTTCTTGAGCACCAGGATGTCACTTTGAAACCAGGGAGCTCTGTCCAAGCTGTCACACTGACCCCGCCTCCAGATATTTAGATCGGCCTCATCTTGTGCCTCCTTCTTTTCCTGCTCTAAACAATGAGGCAGGATCCTCCTGGTTGCTATGACTTCAGGCCAGTGTCTGCGTGAAATGTAAGCAGGCTGGTGCCTCGGCGAGTCGGGTCTGGCCCGGGGAGACTGTTTAGACACGGATACGTCCAGGCCGAAGGAGGAGCCAGGGGCAGGAAAAAAGCAAGCCAGTGGACCCCGTCGGCCAGAGGGGGGTCTGTCCACCGAAGCGTCGGCAGGAGCAGAAAAAGCCCACCGTGACTGGATAGGGTGGATGTGTGTTCCACCAGTGGAAGTGGGGGGAAAAAACAGAAGTTGACAGAAAGCGGCAGCTGGCTCGGGAATGGGCTGCGCTCCATGAATCCAGCTGGAGGAGAAGGATGGTTTTTGTTAGCTTTGACATGCCTCTGGCTTCAATGGTGAGATACTTTTTAAAATGGTTATTCGGATGGTTATAATTACAAATTCTTGGTGTAGTTTGTGGGAAGATGGACCTTTTGTTAAAGTGCTTTTAAAGATAATCAGCTTTTTTCCTGTGAGATTTATGTTGCTGAAAGACTTTAAAGACGTAAAGTGGGATTTTTTCTATGTTTTGTTTATGTATAGATCTGTTTTTAGCATTCCAACTAGTGTGTGTTCTGTAAAGAGGAATCCTGACTTTCTCTCTTTCACCATGTGGACTTAACACCTGGTGTCCTTGAGTGTTTGGTTTTGTTTTAAAAATCACAAAATGTCTCATAGCTAATTTCCTCTTTCACTGACGTGACTCTAATCTGTTTCTCTTTCGCTGCCTCCTTCTTGTGAAGTTGCTGCATTCTTCGGTGTCATTTCTGGAATATAATAGTAGGACCGCTACAGATTCTTATTGGCCCTGACCCCCCACACTCAGTCTGATCTGTTATTTCATTATGCTAGTGTGTGGGGGCCGCTTATGAGACCACATTTAGTAAAGTGGTTCCATAATCGTGTGGGGACAGTCTTCCTAAAATAGCAGTTTCTATATTGCATGACAAATGAACAAAATCTTTCTTTTATTTTAATTTTATTTCACATATACACTTACAGAATATTATCAGTCTAATCATGGAGGTTTTTTACTCTTTTCAAAAGGTTTGTGCAGGTTGACACGACTGATTTATTCACGAATACTTCAATAAATGTTGTATTCTATCGTTGAATGAGTTCTAGTAATGGAGAGATACGATTGGATACGATTTCTTATATGTTTTTCATCAAACAGTAAGTTGGCCGAATCAATATTTTGCCATACTAAAATATACCACAACGTTATCTGGAGTTTACTCCTATGAAAGAGAACAGATTGCTTTTTTCTTGTTATTTTTACATACAAAATAATGAAAATCTTTTGCAGATTACTTCTTAGCAGGAGCTCAATGAAATCTTCTGAAATTGAACTCCAAACGTAGAAAAAAGAAAACAGGCTTATCATTGCATCGGACACTGAAGCTGAGACCTAGCATGTACCCCATAATCTTTCTGATATCCCCTGACTTTTGGCTTAAGTGGTTTAACTTCCTTGTGTTTGTTTGTGCGTGCGTCCCTCTGTGTATTTTTTGGGGTGGTGGGGGGGTCGATCGGCGAAAGAATTCTTTTGCAATGGCCGGTCAGTTTCAGCAACAGTGTCAGTGTCCAGGAATGTGACTTCCCCGTCGTTGTGTTTGATGGAAGGAGGGGGGGTCAGCGGCCTGACTCCCCAAACAGCAGATTCCTCCGCGTTGACACTCTTAACGACAAAAACAACTGCTTCCTCAGATACCGACTCGGCCCCCTGTTTGTTTGCTTTTGCGGCGGCTCGTAAAAGCGAACACAGATTGCAGAAGCTAGGCCTCGCGCGGCATGGGCCCGCTGACAGGGTAACAATGGCCAGGGAACAATGGCCCAGACTCGGGCCGTCTGTTCTTGTGGAACAACCTCCTTGTGATGTCACGGGCATTCACCGCGAGGAAGTGGCGGTCCTTCCCCTCTCCTGTTTGTGTCCGACCAGTGGGACGGTTTGCAACGGCCTCCGTTGATGTCATCCCAAAGCCCAGAATTCCCCTCTGATTTCCTGCTTATCCTGCCTTTGTGTATTTCTCTCATTCGTGTTGCTGTGTTGGCTGCCTCTCTCCGCTCCCTCTGTCCTTCTCTCGCCCTCTCTCTCTTGCCCTCTCTTTCCCTCACCCCGAACCGGCCGAGGCAGATGGACGCCCACCCTGAGCCATGGTTCTGCCTGAGGTTTCTGCCTGTTAAAAGGAAGTTTTTCCTTGCCTGTGTCGCCTAGTGCTTGCTCATGGTGGGAATTGTTGGGTTTCTGTAGTTAACTTCAGAGTAGGGTCTGACCTGCTCTGTTTGGAAAGCGCTTTGAGATGACTGTTGTTGTGATGTGGCGCTATATAAATAGAATAGAATTGAATTGAATTCCGCCAGTGTCTCTTTCCATCGGTCCACTCATTAAAGTTCTTTGTTTCTCTTTTTAATTTCCTCTCCTGTGCAGGGTCAGGCGCGACGGAGGAAGAACATGACAGAGTTCCTGGGGGAGACCAACATTCCGACCCCGGATTCCCTGGGACAGACGGGCGGCTCCCTGCCCAGCGCCGGGGCCGGGCCGGACAGCTGGAAGAACCGCGCCGCCAGCCGCTTCAGCGTGCTGTTCAGCTCCAGCGCGGCGGGGGGGGCTTTCGGCAAGGTAAACGCTGTTCAGACTCAAGGGGGGGGTGTACGCGACTCTGGTTTCAAACAAACATTTGGTTCCGAGCAAATGCTGGAATTAGCTGGGCCCGGTGCCCAGACGTGTCTCGCATTAAGAAACCATTCCAGAGAGGGAAAAAAACAAAACAAAACGGTAGCAGTGGGAGGAGGTCAGAAGGCCATATCCCGCTAGTCCTGGTGAAGTCATTTCCCTTAAGTCTCCTGACTCGTTGGCTTGCATATTTTTCCTCCTAGACGATCTGGAAATGAGCAGGTGGAAGAAAAATATTGTGCTCTTTCACCTTTTTTTTTACTTTTAAAACCTTTAAAGGAAAGGTCTCCCATTTAGGGCAAATATGTTAGACTAACTTTATGTAGTTAAATGTGAAGAGACCATGCATGACAACAGCTTACCTGCCTCTTACAGTTCTTCAAGGGTTACTGATTAAAGCTAAACAAAAACCCCAAAAGCCAAACCTCTTTTCTTTCTTTCCTTTCTTCGTTTTCCACAATTCAAATAATCGGCTTTGATTCTACCAAAGTGCAGGCACACGCCTACAAACACGCTCCCATTGTGTCATTCTTCCCGAGGTCACATCCCGCACAGTAGCAGATGTCATATCGAGACACTACCTGTCAGTTAACTGTCAATTCCAGGCTCATCTCTATTCGGCCTGTCTGTCCCCCTTAGCTCGAGGCCAGATATCCTACAACAGGACCAGGACCCCTGTCACCCTCCTTATGGAGAAATTAAACAGCCATCTTTTTAATGGTGAACTTATCCCAAAAGATGTTGTTGCTTTTAAATGTACTGCCTTATTTCTAACCCTATTTTTTTTCCTCAGAGGAGTTCAAAAGCCATTAACTACTGTTTCCATTTGTCCTCACTGTGTTGTAGCCCTCGCCCCCACTCCCCTGCCCTCTATTGTTAAAGTGGTCTCAATGCACTGAGCTCATTTTCATAACTCTGTAGAGCCTGCCAGTCTGAACAAAGACCTGAATAGCAGCAACTGCTGGATTTAAATATCAAGGCACCAACGAGGGCAGTGTTTGTATGCTAATAATACTGGGAGCCCTCTCAATTTACAGTTGGAATATAGCAATAAACAGCCACAGGGAAAAACCAACGCTTAGCACGGTACCTGACGATGTTCTCAAACTTATAAGAACCCGGTCTGAAATCCTTATCTGGTCACAGGAGGTGGATCGTCTGGAGCAGCTCCAGAACAAACTCCACTCCTACACCCTGTTCGGGCTACCCAAGGTGCCACGGCAGCTCTCTTTCCACCAAGACTCCTGGGAGGAGGAGGAGGAGGAGGCCAACCTGGTACTGGAGGACAGCTGGCAGACGTTGCTGGATGGCTCAGAGGTACAGCTCACATGCTCATTTTAAGACCAATCACCACTGTTAGGAACCAGAAAACAGCACATATGTTTACTGACATTAGCTGAGAAATGGTAGTAACACAGTTGCCATGTGATTTCCAAAAAGCACGCATAAGTTCCACATCCTAGTGTGTCTGTCTGTTCCTGGATGTCATGTTCAGTTTGCTTTGTTGCACTTTCCCTGGCAGCTTTTTTCCGCCCCATTATAAAGCCCATAAAGAATTTCACTGACAGGTTGCTGTGAGAAGCCATAAATGCCTTTTTGAACGATAACGGCCATCACAGCCTGGCACTGGCTCCCACCTGTTAATGTGTACATGGCTAATCATCTCATTGCCCAGCTGATATATTATCCCTAATACTGTACTCTTGTCAGTGAGGGCGTGTTACATAACCCAGAGCATCCAGAGTTGCCTAGATCATGCTTTTTTTTAATGGAATGGAAAATTGAACATTAACGTTGTCCTTTCCTGAAACCCATTCCTAAAAGAACATAAAACCAAACAGGATACAGCAGCGTTTGATGGTTACCTGCATGTATTTCCGATTCTATTTCATGGCACCCATTCCATTAAGGTCTTCTATACGTGTGCAAAGTTGTCATCAGTGTGGATACAAATGCTCAATTTCTAGTCAGAATTCTGCCATCTACATCCCAAATGATCATATATGTTAAAGTGTAATTTACTAAATGCATATAATAATCTAATCATAGTTTAGTTATGTCATTTGTAGTGCCACAGCCTCTTTTTAATACATACTAAGTTTAAAAGAAACACCTGTGAGAATGCTGATCTGCTAAATGACCCTACTAGAAGATACTTCATTTAAAAAAGATGTGTAAAGAAAGAGGACAAATTTCCCTAAGTTTTAAGGTCTAATTTGTATATGGAAGTTGAAGGATGTGGAATTAAGGTGAAGTTTCAAGATTTTTCTGAATCACCCCTTTAATCTCTTCACTCACTTGTAAAATCTAGAAGAAGTAAAAATCTTACCGATTTTGAAATATTTTGAAAATAGAATAAAATTGTTCATAGCTCAATGCCTTCGTTTCGTTTAAAATGGGATGGTGCTTCAAGCTGATAGTATGGTGAAATAGTTAAAGCTGAAAAAGGTCAAAGTTTCTTAAGCGTTTTAAGGCTTCCCCATTCATTTTAATGAAAAAAAATCCCCAAAAGTTTGATAAATTAAAGAGTTGCAAAGATAGTACCGAGAGACTGAGTCTCAATCTCCCAGATTTTGATACCTTAAATGTTAAAATTAGTAGTTAAATGCGCACAATCATATGGAAAGATAAAAATGGTGGAACAGTATCACTATAGTTAGAAAGTTGTACAGCATTCTGAGAGTCAAGCCATCAAAACTGATGAATAAAACCTCAGATGAACAATAACTAAATCGATCTCGCCATATTTGATTTCTTAATAAGTAAGCAGAAAATCTGAAGCAATACACCTTTGTGCTACTAGCATAGATCACCGTGAAATCCCTCTGAAAAACTGCAAAAAAACCAAACCGAACAAGTTATCTTTTCAGACTCGACAGAAAACGCGGGTGCGATTTGATCACGCTTCAAAGTAGATGTGTGTTTTTGCAGACGTTGACGAGGCGACAGTTCCACCAGCAGGAGGCGATATGGGAGCTGCTGCACACGGAGGCCACCTACATCAAGAAACTCCGAGTCATCACTGATGTAAGAGGAGTTTGAATACAGCTCACGGCAGGCCTGGAGTTTTTTTTTTTCTTCATTTCGTTGAACCCTGTCCCGTCTCTCTCTGCAGCTGTTTCTGAGTGGGCTGCTGAACCTGCAGGAGAGCGGCCTGCTGACCGAGGTGGAGCCCACCAAGTTGTTCAGCAACATCCAGGAAATCGTCCGCCTGCACACCTTGCTCTGGAACCAGGTCATGCGGCCCGTCCTGGATAAGGCCAGGGAGGCCCGCGCCCTGCTGGACCCGTCGCACCTCCGGGACGGCTTCATGATGGTCGGTATTTTCCTCGTGTTAAGATCGCACGGTCAGCAAAAAAAAAAATTCAATTTCCTTTGGTAGTAATATCGCTTCTCCGCGTCTTCAGTTTGGCTTCAGGTTCCAGCCCTACATCCGCTACTGCATGGAGGAGGAGGGCTGCATGGAGTACATGCGCACGCTTCTCAGGGACAACGACCTCTTCAGGACTTACGTCACGGTCAGTTATCCCCGCTCTACCCCAAGACTCTCGCAAGCACACCGTGTCCAGACGCTCTCGTCCTCCACATTTATTTATTTTCCCCTCATATTGAGCTTGACTTCCTGTCTTTGTCTCCACTCAGTGGGCAGAGACCAATAAACAGTGCAACCGGCTGAAGCTGGCCGACATGCTGGCAAAGCCCCACCAGAGGCTGACCAAGTATCCCCTCCTGCTGAAGAGCGTCCTGAAGAAGACGGACGAGCCATCGGTCAGGGAGATCATCAACGGCATGGTAAGGCTGTTTAATAACGTCACTCTTGATCCGTTTTTCTGCTATCAGAAGTGTGATCTAGAGCGGTTTTTTAAAATGTTTTTCCCAAACTTTTAGGTGGACACGGTGGAGGGCTTCATCAACAGCGTGGATTCCCAGATGCGCCAGCGGCAGGAGCGGCAGAAGCTGGCCACCATCTCCGCCCGGGTGGACTCCTACGAAGCCGTGGAGGGCAGCAGCGAAGAAGTAGAAAAGGCAAGACACGGCTTTAAGGGACATGGGGGCTTTTTTGTGTCAAACGAGAGATCTCATGTGAAATCGAGCTTCACGCTTTTTGTCTCCCTCCCACGCTCCCTTTCAGATCCTCAAAGAGTACAACCGCTTTGATCTTATGGCTCCCATGAGAGGAACATCACCAGAGGAGACTCGACAGCTGCATCTGGAGGGGGCGCTGAGGATGAAAGAGGGCAAAGACAGTAGGGTAAGACTTCCCTGCCTATAAACCCACCACAAGCTTTTATCTTCTCACTTTCACTTAGAAGTTTTACTTTTTTAAAAATCTTCATATGGGAAAAGACTCCAGCTTGCTTGTTTTTTTCATATTTAAATCAATCTGATTCGTGTTAAAATGAAGTATATTTCCTCTTCAGATGGATGTCTACTGCTTTCTGTTTACTGACCTGCTGCTAATAACCAAATCTGTAAAAAGAGTGGAGAAGGTTAAAGTTATCCGCCAGCCTCTTCTCATTCACAATGTCGTCTGTAAGGAGCTGAAAGACCCCGGTGAGTGCCCCGATGTGGTTTTTCTGTTTTGTTTTCTTTTAAACCTAGAATTTCATGTGGCCTGTTTTGTCTATTGATGTGGAACAAAGGGGCTCAGGAAATCCTGACTCTTTTGGAAGCCACAAGGACAAGCCGTAAAAATGGCTTCTTCTTTTAAAAAAAAATCATCATAGCATTTACACTCCCCTGTTTTTTTTTGTCTCCTTAGGATCTTTCATTCTTATCTACCTCAATGAGTTCAAAAGTGCAGTGGCAGCCTACACTTTTCAAGCCAACAGCGCCACCCAGGGGAGAGGCTGGATAGATGCAATCTGCAACATCCAGGTATGCAAGAAGGCTCTTTTTAAGAAGTCCTATCCTGACTTTGGAACTTTGTAGCTGTGGCTTTTTTTGGGGTTGTAACACGGATGCACTTTTTTGTGCTTCAGAACCAGCTGCAGAGGCTGCGCGCAGAGGAAGAGCTCCGGCAGCAGGACATTCGAAATGGACGGACAAAGGTGGAGGTAGACGAGGAGGAGGAGAGCAGCAACTCCACGACTAGTTCCCCAGCCTTGCAGCACAAAGACCAGCTGAACTCAAGGTTAGTACACCGGGGAAAATCCCAATTCTGTTACCGTAAATGTGTCAGGACGCACGCCATCTGCTTCTGTTGGCCAGTTTAGTATCTTTACAACACTTTGGGGGTACAATTTTGATGTCAACAAAAACTTTGAAAACCGGTTACTCATTAAACATGCCTCTCCTTTCAGCCAATCGGACGGTTCCACTGAAACCCTGTCAGTGATGGATGTGGACGAGCCCCTGGAGCACCAGCAACCTTCTCCCTCCGGCTCGTTCCAGGAGGAAAGCTCCGGCTCGGACTCTCGTCCCGACGTTCCCGGCCTGTCCGAGAGGTGCGAGCCTTTCCTCGGGATCCCCGGCGCCGTCCGCTCCGGTCATGGTCGGGAGGCGGGGCCCGACGGCGAGGAGCTGGACCCCCAGTGCCGCTCTCTCTCCATGGACAGCGCCTACGGCACCCTCTCCCCCGAGTCCTTCATGCGAGAGCTGCAACCACAGCCCGGCCACAGCGAGGGAGAGGAGACCGAGGAGGAGGAGACGGACCGGGAGGGCCCGGAGGAACGTCTGGAAGCTGAAAACAAGGAGGTCGTAGAAGAAGAAGAAGAAGAAGAGGACGAGGAGGAGGAGGATTGTGCGTCTCTAGGGTCCCAGTTGTCGGTAGTCCAGTCGTGTAAACCTCGACGGAGGCCTCATGTTCAGCCGAGGCATCACTGCCTTCAGAGACTATCCTCTACGGCTTTGTCTCGCTCCGAGGACAACCTCCTCCAGCGCTTCCACGAGGAGAACCCCAGCTCTCAAACGCACTCCGAGGACCCGGGTTCGCCCTGCGGGGACACGGAACCGGCCTCGCTGGCTCACAGCCGGAGTCTGACGGAGCTCCGGCAGAACAGCGTGGGCGACTTCCACCCGTCGGAGGACTTCCTGAGCGCCAGCATGCCCTCGGAGAAGCTCCGGGCCCGCCTGGGCGAGGTTGAGGCCCGGCGCAGCCAAGGGGAGCCCGCCGGACTTTACGAGGGGGACGAGTACCTGAGGGTGAGCTCGGACGATGTGGCGGACCAATCCGGCTGCGAGCCGGCGCCTAGCGCCGATCCAAAGGAAACGCCGCCCAAAAAGAAGAAATCTCACGCCCAGCAACACAAGAAGCTCACGCTAGCTCAGCTGTACCGGATACGCACCACTCTGGTCCTCAACTCCACGCTCACGGCCTCGTAAGTCATCCCATTTTATATCATATCTTTGGTTTAACTCATTGGCTGCCAAAGACGTCTATAGACGTCAATTCAAATACAACCGTTGGCTGCCAAAGACGTCTATAGACGTCTTTTATGTTTTTCAACGAGAGTGGCTTGGGGGACGATCTGCTAAAGCTTGTCCGTAAATATCAGGCTTCTAGACAGAGTATGTAGTAACAAATTGACCCTCTAGGTGGCAGTGCCACTTTTGATGGGAGATGAGCATAGAGTGTAAGCAAATAAGAAAAAGGTAACGGTTCGCTATGAGAGAACATGTCGCCGGTGAGACGCAAGTTGAGGAAGAACGGAATAAGGTAGAAACAAAATTTGTTTTCCTGATGAAAGAAGAGAGTCTTTTCTTTCTTTTGGTGTGTTCAGTGTTTACATAGTCATAGCACAAACTATTCTGTGGCTCTTGAAAAATCAGTCAAAATGCTCGAAAAACTCTGGCAGTATGGGACTCTTTGATCTGAAAATGGCTGGCAGTCAATGAGTTAATTTACTTTAATTCCGGTTAGAATGCGTTTTAACCTCTTATTTTGGATTTCCAGGGAGGTCTGACCACTTTCGAAAACAGCTGACCAGTGGCGTTACGGATCTTTAAGAGGAGTGGCACTGGTTTTCCTGAGGACGGACTGAATTTCTTGAGACACAGATGCACTCTCTCTCTCGTACTGACCTCTCCCCTTCCTGTTTTGCTCTTAGGACTGCAGCACATTTACATTTACATGTGAGCATCAGCAATCTCATTTTTCCTTGTCCATTGGTTTTGGTTTTCTGTGTTTCTTAAACGGAAGGGAGAGGCAGAGAGATATTAACTGCTTGCACTTTGCAACAGAAGTAGCATTACGGGGGGGGGCTGGGAAGTTGTGGGTGGACTGGAAGAAAAAAAAGGGACGTTCTACCCTCCAGAGAAAAGCCATCCAGGCAGAGGTCTGGCAACCTCATCCCTGCACTCCACACAAAAGAGGAGCTGAACGCTTTACTTCCTATTTCACAAGAGCGGAAGAAAGGGACAGTTAGTCTTAGAGCTGCTCGTGGCCGAAACCAAAGCAGCACCAAGGACCACCTCTTGACCACCCGTACTTCTCCTAGTTTGCTGAAAAACAAAAGAAAAAAAGATGTAATTGCACAGTTATCTTTTTTCAAATAGAAGAATCACTAAAGAGTGAATTTACAGTCACCAGTTTGTTTGTTTTTGTGTGTGTGTGCGTGGGTGCGTGTACAGATGGATGTGTGTGCGTGGATGATTGAGTGTTTGAATAATACGTGTTACTTAATTCCTGACTGAACCAAAACTGATCACCCCAGAATTTGAGACATGTACAGCCCCGCAAAAAAAAGAAAGAAAAAAAGAAAACTGCAGTGCAGTGCAGCCAATCAGATTTAAGATCATTAAAGAATTATTTCTTTCCCTATTCTTTTTTTCTTTTTTGAACTAACAACTTAAACTGAGGGATTAAGACTGTTTTGCCATATTTTCTGCACTACACAGAGTATTGGCTTGAAGAAAATGTTTGTTATTTTCTTTAGCGATTGACTGGTGTTCAAAAATCCAGGTGATTTGAAAATAAAAATAAAAGTTTCTCAGATCGTTATTATTCATCTTACTCCAAAAGATTGTCGAAACCAAATAGGTTAACTTTGTTTACTTTTATTTTTTTTCTTGTGTATGTGTTATATTTATTATTCCCGCTATGTTTTATATATAAGATATTGTTTATAATGTTTGCGTTCATGGTTTGTCTTTTTTTTTTTGTTAATGTAGTCTTAATTTTTTGGTTTTTTGTCTCACTAGGCATTAATGTGCTATGAACCAAAATTATGTGTTTCCTCTTTCAGGAATGACTTCACTGTGTCTTACAAAATAATAATTATTAAAAAAAAACGCTTGAATAATTTCCAATCCCTGTTTTAATGGTGTAATCCTTTTAATCTAGCTGGAGGTTGATTCTGAAGGGCGTGAAATTAAAGCGATGTGATGAACTGCTCACAGGCGGCGAGCAGCAGGTGGCGAAGGAACATTTGAAAAAGCAGATGATGGCACGTTACAGCAAACTTTTATGACTACAAGTGACAATGATTTGTGGCATTTTTATTTCAGGATTTGAAACTTAACTTAAGCCAGTTTATATCAAATAAGCAGAGGATTAAATCTTCGGTAACAAGTACGGTAATAATATCCAGAACTGAATTACCTGAAAAAGAAGGCTAAGGATAAAGATTTAGATTTATCTAAACATCAAGATAAATGTTTTTGACCAAATGATTAATAAAGTTAGTCAGAAGATAATCACTCTTTGTCACGTGTGCAGCAATCATCTTTATATTATTTACATTTTTGTATGTGCAGAGGGTGTAAAGTGCTAACAAATCAATGTAAAGGTCCATTATCTATGAAAATAAGATTTTTATGTTGCGCTTTTCAAAGTCAGGATGCACATTAAACAAAACAAATTGGAAAGATATTAAAGTTGAGTACCATAATGGCTAAAAGTAACAGTATTTAGAATTATTATTTCGAATTCTAAATAAGTTTTAAACACATTTTAAAATGAACTGTTCTATGTTATTCTATTTAAATAAAGGTAAGATTAGCCTCTTGCACATTGTGCAAGAGGTTCATGAACTGCAGTTAGCTTCCTCAGCCAGTAGGTGGGAATCATGTCAGGGCCTGATACTGTTGAGCTCTTCATACTTGGGACTCTTGTTTTGGATGTCTGACACTGTGCTTGCTATTGGAGCCTGTTCCGGAAGATTGTAGTGGTCTGTCCTTATCCCAGACGCTCCTCCAGTATTGCTCCGTATCCATCCTTGGTGGGGCTGTTTTTCCATATTGCAGCCCTGCCTCTGGGTTCACACCTTGGATGGTCCAGCAGAAAACATCTGGTTAATTATCCTAGCTTCTCAAAGCTGTGATATTTGCTTAGCGAATACGTCAGGTAGCAGAAACCTGGAGAAAGAGAAGGAGCAATCATAGCTAAACAAAACCCCGGCAATGCACGTTCCATCAGCAAATCGTAGATGTGGCTGATATCAAGAAAATTCGGTCAATGGCTAGGCAAAGCTGGACTGAGAGATAGCAGAAAGAATTTAATTGTGGCATCACAAGAACAAGCTCTGAGCACAAGATCAATAGAGGCTAAAATATAAAACTCTAAGCACGACCCTGTGGGACTGCAATGTACTGTATATGTAATGATCCTATATGCATTAAAGATACAGTACATGGAAATTCAATATACAGTCATGTACTGGCCTTTGATTACAAAAACTGCACTCTGACTGGAGTTATGTTGAAATAAATCATGTCTAACTGTTGAAAACCCCAGTATTTGATTTTGAAAAGCCAAATCTGTTACATTGTTTAATGCTGTCCTGCTGTAAAAAGAGCCAAACAGGAATAGAAATACAGTAAAAATGTCTGTTTATGTGTTAAAACCAACAACGGAATGAATTCTAAGTCTGTAGTTGGTGGTGAAATGGGGGACAAGAGGTAAAACATTATCAAGTGCTTGTTTCGAAACACTAATGGTCAGATTGTGTGGGGTTTTAGAGACAAAAAAGCATTCATCTGTTCATTTTGGGTTTCTTGGAACTCTGTCAAATCACACGTCGAGTCCAGCTGTTCGTCTGGGCCGAATGTCTGGTTTCCAGAAAGTTCAGCCGACTCAGCATTAAGTCATATCAGCACACGTTCGGGGGCTGTCGGAGCAAAGGCCCTGCCGGCCCCCCCCCCCCCCCCCCCGGTCGCATCCTCGCCAAGGTGTATTTACAGGTGATTATATCAGCTAATAGTGGATTACAGCATGTTGAGTCCAGACAAGCCTCTAAGCCGCCGAGAAAAAAAAAAAAGACAGAGTGCTCCTGTGGGATTTTTTCTGCTTAATCTGCTCCCGGAACACAGTTGCTCCTACTGTTCTCACATCTGGCTTGCTGGGATTTACCGTTGTAATCTTTCCCTTTTTTTTTTTTTCCAAACTATTTTATCATGCTTCACCGCTGATACGCTGGACTTTAATTATTCAAATGCAGCTTTCAATTTTCAGCCGTGAAGTAATTACATGGTCCCTGTTCAATTAGCCCGGCCTAAGTAAGTAATGAGGTTGTGCTGCTGGTCACTTGTGGCTCAATGATGTTTTCCGGGTTATTTACAGGTCTGTGATGACACATCAGAAGATGGAAGAATTAGTAATTGCAAATAAACGCAACGCCTCTTCATTTTTTTGCTCTTCACTGCAGGGGTTTGTGGTGGGAACGTCCACTGTTGGGGCACCGGAGTGGGTTAACGCCACTCTCTGTGGCAGATGTCGAAAAAAACAAAGCTGTAAAAAAAAAAAAAAAAAAAGCCTGATTAACACAAAGGGGCACTTTGTCAAATCCTGATTATCGGAGCACTTTCGTTTATTAAACGCAGTCAATCCCCCCTGTACTCTTTTGGAGCGGGGATTTGAACCAGGTAGACACCATTGTCTATCTAAACAATCCCTTATTTAAGCCCTGGCTGTTTCCTGGGTGCCCCAGCAAAAGGCCCCCCCCGGGCTGGCTGGCTGGTTGCCTGTAATCTCAGTACAGGCTTATAGGTCACTACTACCACCAAACCTTTCCCCCCCCCTCCCCCCTCCCCCTCATTCATCAACATCATCCCGTTTAAAGGGAGTAGGTGATTGGATTTAGGACATGTTTTACAGGGATGGGAAAAAAAAGAGAACACCCGTACTGGAGCGTGTTTACAAGCGCTGTGCTGTGAAAAAGGCCCGTGGAACGAGTGGCAGCCATACGGTGCGGATCACTCCGTGGAACATCTGCCGTCCATCCCGACCCCGTTCTGCCGGGAGACCGGTGGTGCTGACCTTCACATGGTGCTCTCGGGAACATCTGGACCCTTTAACTCCCATGCGTCAACAAGGCAGAAACAAAGACTCGGGGTTCAGATAATCGTCTAGCAAGGACAGATAGGCCCTTTTTTATACAGCATTTTCTTTTACAAATTCAACTCAATTCAATTTTATTTATATAGCGCCACATCACAACAACAGTTGTCTCACAGCGCTTTCCAAACAGAGCAGGTCAGACCCTACTCTGAAGTTAATTACAGAAACTCAACGATTCCCACCATGAGCAAGCACTAGGCGACACAGGCAAGGAAAAACTTCCTTTTAACAGGCAGAAACCTGGAGCAGAACCATGGCTCAGGGTGGGCGGCCACCTGCCTCGGCATAGATGAACTCAAACACGGTTCAGTCTTCACTGACGATGCAAATAACTTTACAGAAGCAAAAAAAATGTGTCTTATTTGACCAGATTTATTGGTTGAGCAAGCTGCTAGGGACAAGTATCGAATAGGGCCGATATATAAACTGATGAGCAATCGCGATGTTGCTTTTATCTGTTTAGAATAGAGGTGGGAGGAAGACGTTGGAGAACAGATGTTAGATGAGGTGTTTAATCAGAAGATTCACTCCCCCTGCACCTGTTCCTGACAAATAAAAGTTCAGTTTAAGGTTATGTGCAGACAGAAACAGTGATTTCACATGGTGGAAACACACTTTGGACATTTTATGTAATCTTTTGGTCAGGTTTAGTTGTTTTTTTTAGGACTTTCTCAAGTATTTATAAGAAAGCTGTCATATCTTCTGTTATCGCTGGAAAGATTTGGGGGCCACTCCTTCAATTTAGAATCTGAACAAAACCCAAACTGACAGATGATTACTTTCTGTTTTTGTCTGGCAAGATTCCCACACCTCCCCTGCAATGCATGGAGCCAGAAATCAAGAATGTTCTGCTCTTTTTAAAACTGGGAAAAAGAAGATATTTCAATGTTTCACAAGAGGATCAACAAAAGTCTTCTTTCAAACCTGGCAACCATTTCTTTTTTGTCCTTTGTGTCGAATATGGACAATAATAATCTGTATTAAACTACTCTATCTAAAAATAACTTTTTATTACAGAGCTGAAAGTGTACTGAGAACTTTTGATTGTATCTTTGCATCTTTATTAAAAATTAAAACTTAAAATCCTTTTTTCCCAAGCATGTGATCAGTACATGTAATTGGTCATTTTTTGCAGTTTATTTTTATTTTAGTGGTCATATTACTCCTATTCATTATTCATTATATATATATATAGTGAGTAGAGAAAGAGTGTTTCTTGTGTTAACATCTAATTTAGTGGGTTAATAATTCATATTGTTAAAGTTTGGAGGGGTCTGTGACATTAGATGTCGACATTTATGTAATAGTTTGGCAAGTATGTGCTGTTGCGTGCAGATGGCATTATCTGTGAGCGTGGATAAGTCCGGCTGGGCTTTGGTCTGTACCTGCCCTGCAGGAGGTCCCATTGTTCGCAGCAACAGGAACACCAGTTTTGCTTCACTGAAATAACAAATGATATCATCATTATCTATAAAATATTTTCTTTGATATATTGAGATAACATAATTTAGCCAATTTCACAACTGGGATAATTAAACTTTTTAAATGTGCATTAAAAAACACATATTTCAGGTTGTTTAAAAAGGTAGAAAATGTTTTTAGTCATCTTTGATCAATTATTACGATCTTAAATTTTTTCCATTAAATAATAATGTTGTTTTCTAAACATTCTGACAATAAGTGTAAATGCTGGTGGCATGGTGATAAAGAGAGATATAATAAATTCAAGTTCAGCAGTTTGATTTATATTGAACGAGTTATATTTACTATTAGACAACATCTTTTTACTTTATACATACGGCTAGGAATTTATACTATGATTCAACACAAAGTAATATAACCATAAAATACATTATATTCATTACAATTTCAAACATGTAAACTGCTCACATTGCTGAAAAAAAGTATTTTTGTAATGGATTTTTTTATTTATATGCATTTACTTTCTTGTGGCATAGAGAGAGCAAATTGCTTGTTATATGCATAAGAGCACCACTGAAATGAAACAACTCAGGGGTCACTCCTGGTCATTTGCCCTGAGTGGAAGGACCTGTCCCAATTTTGAAGCACCGAGCTGGACTCCCCACACTCACTGACCACTGTCATTACGTTCGGACACAATCATATCCCACTGCTTCTGATGACCCTGATGCTGGACCCACATGTCTAAATACAGACCTTCTTGTAATTAATGCACATTTGTGCATAGTGGTAGAAGTATTTAAAGTAGTACTTTGCCTAACAGTCTTTTGTTTGTTTTTGTAGCCACTCAATTCCCAGAAGTAGCAAGGTGATAAATGTCCAGCCAGCTGCTTGTGGGATAAATTCATCCCACAAAGATGCAGCATATGCCAGAGGATCAAATGTCTTTATCCTCGGAAAAAATTGTGTTTTCCAAACTGAAAGAGCATAAGGTCCCACCTTCACTGAATAAACTCCTCACCTCAATAGTTGTATCAGCCCATAAGAAGCTTACTGTAATTACAATATTGTCCTCTTAGGCCAGCAGGCTGGAACACAAAATACAAATCAATCTTTCTCTAAATTAAATGGAAACTCTGTCGAAAGAGGAACAGCTACCGGTGGAGGACAGAGGGATTAACATGTAAGTCCGGCACATTTAATATTTACAATCACACAATTAATCTGACAATGTGTTCTGTGTTTAATACCTGTGATGACCGGCCCTCCAGATTTATCAGTGTGTTTAGGGGGTGGGAGCCACCGGTTTAAACCGTGTGACCCAAATGAACCATATGACACAGGATCTACTCCATGATAAACTTTTGGCATTTTCCTTAGCTTTACTCTTGGTTTTTTATTTTATTTCGGGTGACAAGTGGGGTATGAAGGCCTGAAGATTAAAACAAAAAAAAGTGTAAGCGATTGATTTTCATAAATCACATAAGAGATTAAACTGTTAATTTTTTCAAAGTTACTTTCAAGCCTTAACTCGTTTTAACCATCGTATGTCATCAGTTTTCTGTGGCCTTTAGTGTAATAGTTTACTTTTTGCTTTTGCATTTTCACATCTCTTTCTTTATTTTGATCTAATTTATCCTCTTTTAAATTCAGTTCATGAATTTACTTTATGGTCACACCTGGTTTCCAGTGCAAAAAATAAAAAATCACCTGCTTTCTTGTCTCTTTTTTAATCCATCGTTTGTCTTATGTTGTTTTCTTTTGTTTTGAGTAATTTAATGTATTTTGCCTCTGTGTCAGTTCAGTTAGTGAGTCACTTAGTCTGTGTTTCTTTTTCTTCAAGAGTTCACTCTTTAAATTTATTTTGTGCGTGGTGTTTGATTGATTTGAATAAATGAATGGTAAGAATGTACTAATTAACCGAAGATTGGAGATTTATATATATACACATATATAACTAATCAATCTCCGATCTTTGATTAATTAGTACATTCTTACCGCGTGTGTGTGTGTGCATGTGGTAATTGTGTGCCACTGTTTGTTCATATGGTTTCCCCATCCATGTCGAGGTTCTCTCCAGATCTCAAAAGCTTCTTTCCATTACCACAATCATGCCTGATCTGATGGTTTAATCGGTGATTTCAACCTGATTGGGGTTGAGATTGATTGTGCGTGGTTGTAAGAGTTGGCCTGCCTTTCATCAAATTGTAGCTTAAGTAGACTCCCGTCCACTCCAGTCCCCTCAGGACTATGAATTGGATCAAGAGGATATAGAAAGTGGATAGATGGATGGACTTTAGTTAGTAGTTATTATGATTGCTAACATTTCAGATTCCCTCAAATTCAAGTGAACATTTGTTCAGTTTTATGCTCTTGTTTTTGCTGCTGTTTCACCTTTTTCAGAATTTTCTCTGAAGAATATTTCAGAATCTCCCAATAAGTGTACTTAACCAAAAAGCAAAGTAACAGCGTCACCTCATCCGATTCTTCCAGTAAAACTTTAACTTAAAGCAATATGTCTAAAAAAAAAAAAAATGCACAAAAAAACAAATGAGGAGCGAATGGGAGGAAACTGGAGTCAACATCTGTGACCGAACTGTAAGAAACCGCCTAAAGAAAACGGGATTTACATACAGAAAAGCTAAACGAAAGCCATCATTAACACCTGAACAGGAAAAAAACAAGGTTACAATAGGCTAAGGAGCACAAGTTTACGTTGATATTTTGGACACTTTTCTTATGCCATCAATTGAAAGGATGTCTGGGGAAGATGAAATCATTTTTCAAGATGATAATGCATCTTTCCATAGAGCAAAAACTGTGAAAACATTCCTTGAAAAAAGACACATGAGGTCAATGTCGTGGCCTGCAAATAGTCTGATTGAAAATCTTTGGTGGAAGTTGAAGAAAATGGTCCATGACAAAGCTCCAATTTGCAAAGCTGAGAAAGCAATCAGAGAAAGTTGGATCCAGATTGATGAAGAGTACTGTCTCTTATTAAGTCTGAGAAACTGTAAGTTTTATAAAACCCAAGAGGTGGTGCAACAAAAATACCAGTGATGTGTTTAAGTGTTCTTTTGTTTTCACGATTCCATCATTTTTTCCTCAGAATTGAGTAATTCCATATATTTTTCCCCTCTGCTTGGTCTGAAAAAGTAACCGTTACTGACTACCACTTTTTTTTCTGGATTCTTTTTAGTTTTTATTAAAAGGCAGACAGTTTTCATTTGAAATGACTTTAGTTTTGTGTCATGTCTGTAATCTGCTTCTTTTTTAAACAAAATTAAACAACTGAATAAACATCCTCCGAGGCCGGTGATTCAATAATCTTTGCCTGGAGTTGTAGCTTACACTGACTGTTCACACGTATCTAGTGATGAACCTTCATCCAGCCTCAATTTAGAAAATGTCGAGGTTTAAGTTTTCGAGTGAAGATGCCTTTAAAGGGTTAACGGGAGGAGGAGGAGGCGGCGGGGAGCTCGTCTGGGTGGAGTAAAGTTTGGTCATTTACCTTCTAAAAACTAATTAGCCCGGTCGAGTGCTTTGTGGAACAGTGGGTTTTGGAGGAAAAAAAAACTATATTGCTATATATAGCATAATATTTAAAAAAAAATAGACAGGGAGCAGTCGTTTGGGAAGAAGCGGCACGCGCTGAGCCGAGATGGGTGATGTGAGCGAAGAGTCGCTGCTGGATTATTTCTACTCGGCCGGAGGCAATTCGGGCAGGGTCCGAAATGCAGACATGCTGAGGACATTTAAGCCTTTTATTGGCCACGGTAACCCGGAGCTGCGCGGTAAGTAGATAATTTAGGTTTAAGTGAAAAATACCGGAGCGAAAAAATAACGTGGAGACGAGAGGATGTGGTCGCGAGACGCTCTGCGGTGCCGGTATGAAAACATCAACGGCAGGCGCGCGTGCGCTTAAGCCCCGCAGTGTTTAGATTAAATGTGGACGTTTCTGGAAGCTTAATTTAACGAGCGGTCTATTTTGTCGTTCAATTTTTTCAATGCTGTAAAGATCACATCTGCTTCGCATTAAACAAGCCCCTCCAAAAGCAGGGATGGTGTCATTTCCTCCCACGAGTCAGTTGGTAACTAACCAGATGAACCTCTAGAATAGACCAACCCATCACTGAAATATCCCACCACGCACCATACCCCTGAAAGTCCCCCCACATTAAACAGTTGAAGAAATACGTGACTATTTTTTTTGCTCAGTATCATCGTTCTTTTGGTGTCCACCCACCAATTGCTTATGCAACCCTCCTCTGAATCGGTGCTAACTCTGCAATTCGTCTTCCATTTGGCTCACGTTCACAAATAGGAGTGATGTTGTGCAACTGTTTTGGTCATTCTTTCCAAAACTGCAACAGTTTCAGAAAAAAAGCAGCCTTCCAGGCACAGATGTTGCTGTGAGGCATATAGAAATAGTTTCCAGGAGACCACTTCGTGTCGTACAACTATGACACCAGTGTATTCAAACCTATTTTAGATAACCTCATCATACATACATTGCCTGTATTTAAGAATATCTGCAATAAGATTTCCCCAAGCATTCACATTTTTGTGTTTTCTTCATGACATCTGCAGGTAAGCAATGCCCCAGAGAAGACAGCTTTCTCTTCTTGAGGTTTTTCTATTTATAAGGCAGCTGTGGAGCTTAAAAACACCCCTTCACCACTCACCGAACGGGACAGGATGTCCAAACCTGACTGAATCAAATTCAAATCACTAATGCTGCCTGCAAAGTGAGAATAGATGGTAAATGCAGTTGTCTAAGTCCGAACACATGCTTGACCCGTCTGGTGAATTGCACAAAAGGCTGTCCTTGTTTCTGTTCCTGCCAAGTTGGAGCAAACTCTGACAGAAATCTTCCTTTTCTGTGGAGGAACTGACGGAAATACACATCTTTTCTCCCTTAACAAGCCTACTTTCAGTATCCAAAGCATATTTTTCTTAGGGATTCTGATTGGAACTAAAGAGAAAAACCTTCAAGCGTAAATCAATGCACAGATCCTTCGTAATAATGTGAACAATCTAAGACACACATGTTTTTGGTCTCTTCAAGGACCTGTCTGTGACCCTGCTCTGCAATTTCTGAGAAAAAATCTGAACTATTTTGTGGTTACCAGGTTACCGTTTTTTTATTATCAGTTCTTATTTGGACTTGAGTGTTTGGTTCCCAATGTCTCTCAATGCCCATGAATCTATTTGTACTTCATCCGCAGATAAATTGCCCTTAGAGTTTATACCGAAATGCAAATGTTGTGTCTTGGTCTTGTTACCTTGGATAGCAGTCTTGGATGGAATGAGACTAACACTGTGCAAAATAAGTGTAGTCTGTATACATTAGATGTCATATATTGCAGCTTTAATTAATTAAAAAGTTATATTTTTCTCCAGCTGTTACAATATAGATGCTAATTACAACCATCTATGGGTTACCATAAATATTTGCTATTTAGCTTGACTTTTCTTTGAGTAAAAGTAACATCCAAAGAGATTATATTGGTGTATCATCCCTCCTTCACCTTTGCACTGTCTGAAATGCAAACATCGGGTATTTCAGGGTCCTCCAATGATTATCCAAAGTGACCTTGTGCCGGCCGCCTGTGCTGTCCAGATGCTTGGTCAGCAGTGCTGTTGTTGACAGAGGTTTAAAGAGCTGCCTTGATACTCAGCCATCTGACAAAGCTGTCCAATTAGAAAAAGTGCATCCCACACATTTCGGGTCTGTTTTAGCATGTCGTTGGGGGTTTTTCGTGTCGTAATTGTGACGGTAGCATTTTTTTTTCATATTTAAGTCCACACACACCACTGGATCCAGATCTCTAACGGGGATGCTTTTTCATCACACTGTAAAACTGGGCCATGGCTGGAAAGTGTGTAAAGGGGAGTTGTGTTTGTTTGTGCCGACCTTTGGCTAATAAATAACTTACATGTATGCCGTGTCGCTCACTGTGCTAAGTGCCAAATTCTTTCCTTTAGATAGATGTAAGAGGCTGTTTCCTTTTGGATTTCCTGTTGTTGTCAGTGAGGGCTGTGCGGTGGTCTCACTATAAGCATTCTTTCCGTGCACATCAGGAAAAGGAAATGCTTTATTTGTATTGAACTGGATGCCACAGCGCCCCACAGTATGGAATACCTTCGCCTGGAAAATGTCATGTTGCCTGACAAAAAAACAAAAAACAAACTGCCTTTAATCAAACATTCTGCACCACATCAGCTCCCACTTGTAAACAAAGAGTTTCTTTTGATAGACTTGTGGCAGCTTGGACAGATTTGCAATGCTAGTTTGTTCTTTGGGGATACCTCAAGATCTGTTTGGGGATTTCTTCCTGTGAGACGGCTAAATACCTCCCCTCTGTTTAGGTTTTGGTGTGGGAACTGGCTGAGTTAGACAACTGTAATCTCTCCTGCTAACTTTACAGTTTGGCTCATACTGGGGAAGCTTTGGCAGTTGGGTTGGGGATACAGAGGTTTCCAGGATGTTTGATTGGGATATTTATGTCTGCTATTGATTTATTTTAATGTTTTTTCTAACCAAGTGTCCCAGCCAATAAGGGCTTTAGCTATTTAATGCCCAGTCCAGACAACATATGGCATCACCATAACACTATAAGACATAAAAAACTAAACGGGAGCAGGTTTTCAACTATCACAGTTTACAAGGATGTCTTTAAAATCTAAAAAACTCAAGAAACAGGCTTTATTTATTTAAATGAAGCAGAAAACCTTTGAAGACTGTGCACTGTCAGTGGAATAACTCAGTGGTATAGTTCTGAATAGTGACCAGCTCAGCATTTATAACTAGTGTCAGAATCCTAATTCCTAATTTTCTTTTAGTGCCATATGTGGTGCAGGGCCATCAGTTATCAGTTATCAGTCATCCGTTTTTGTTAAAAAGGGAGAAGGGGAATGGTATGAGTCTCATGCTTAACGCAAATAAGTTAAAGTTAGTGTAATTAAGAAATATAGCCCTTTCTAAAAGTCTTGAAATATCTCAAACATCTTCGGATATTGCAAGAAAAATATGGGAAAGATGTAAATTGATCATATTTGTTAAACGTTTGTGAAAATGATTTGAAATCTAATGAATCTACTTTGCAAAACAACTTTTTTTTTTTCAAGATCTTAGTTTGTCTGTGCAATTTTCCTCTGTTCTTATTTGCCCTTTGGGTATTGAGTGTTTAAACTCTGATTCTATATTTAGTTGTTATTTTTTAACCTCAAATATTTTCCTCTGCAGCTAAATACAGAGAGGAATTCAAGCTCATCATTGACCGAATCGCTGTGGTGAAGTCAGAGAATGTAAGTGGACTTTTAAAAATCCTAAATTGTTGTGGGAAAAGTTGTGCTCACATGACTATTCTAGCCATATCTCCATTACTCACCCAGGCACACATACATGCACACCGCTGCTAGGAATGGATCACATAAGTTGTGTTCAGCTGAACTAGCAGTTATCAAGATTTGTTTAAGTTTCTCTTGTTTTTTTCGCTTGTTTCCTTTCTGCTTTTCCCATGAGATGGCAGCTGCAGTTTTAGTGTTTCACATCTATTTTTGCTTAGGAATTATTTTCAAATGCTGATGAAATGTTCCAAGTCTTTAAACACTTTTTTAGTATCTATCAATGATACACGTTTTGGATTATTTTAACATTTTAGGACTGGTGTGAGAGAAATGTTTTTTTCTTTCTCTTTTTAACAGGTAACTCATGGGAAGTATTTGCTTGAACCCCTATTCATTATTAACAATCCAACCAACTTTAATCAACACATTTATTTAAATTTGCATGATGAATTAAGTTGTAAAGACTTTTTTCCCGCAAATATTTAAACAAGGAAGGTATCACAAGTCAATTAAGCTGTTTCAGCCCGTGTGTTTCAAGCAGTATGCCCTGGCGTTATCTTCTCACTTAAAAAACATATGTGGGCATGATAATAGTTTTCAATGTTTTGACTTATATTTAAGTTGGCAAAGGTTTCCTTTGATTTTTTTTAAAGCAGTAAGTCACTGAACCATGCCTTTTGATTTAGATTTTTTCAAGTTTTGCTAATTCCATGCCATGTGTTATGTTTATAAGAAGGTACACTGCATTACCAATGTGGAATTGTAAGATATGCCCTCGACCTTAAACATTTTACAAGAAATAGATCAATTTACAGAAATGCCCCCAGTCCTCAATTAGATATATGATACTTCTATTAATTTCTTTTTCAGCTGAGACCTTCTATAAGCAGCACCAAATTCAGTCATGAATCAGAGAAATGAAAGTGTGGATTTGACTCTTGTTTTGAAAGGGTGTGTTCTAACTGTTTTAACTTTCACAGGGCGAGAAATACCTTTGTCTAAAAAAGAAGTATCGGCAACTGCTACAGGACCGAGACAACAAGCATCAGGGGGCTGATGGAGAACAGGTTAGGCATCTGAATCCGGCCATATCCACTGCCTCTGCAGAGTGGGAGGTAAATGATGCCCCAACATCCTCTCCTAACCAGTGGGAGCAGCAGGAAGAGACACTCTCATGCGGAGAGTCTGATACAAAGGTGAATTAGAGAATATTTCTTTTTCTTCTTAAAGAAAAACTGTTAAATGAGTTGAACTTGCTGAGTTTGTCATTTCTTCAGCACATCATGTGTACTCTTTATGTGAGTAACGCGTTTATTTCCACACAAGGCCCTCTTTGTTGGTGCCTTTTGCCTTTTCTTTTCAGCATGTGTCAACATTTACTGAATGGGGATTCAACAGAGAGTCACTGTTTAGTGAAATAAAAAGCATCAAGTTCTAGCAAATCTAAGTCAGCCACTGTGACAAAGAAAATGTCACATGGTTCCTGTTTTTAAATAAAGAACAGTTCTAGTTTTGATACACACTAATCCTCTGAGAGGACTTTTACATGTTGCTTATGCAATAAACTTCAGCGTGTAATCATATTTGAAAAGTGTTGGTTGTGATGGAGAAAAGAGCTAAAGAAAAGTGCTAATGTTGGCTAACACAGCTGAGTGGACACTGTGATCACACTGTGGTGCCGCCGACAACGAGCTAACAGTACATTCATGTCTGACCATCTGTAGGAGCAGCAGACAGGGACACAGCATACTACACAGCCACCTCCTGCCATCCGAATTCAGGAACCCTCAGCGCAAAGTCATGGAGGGGGTGAGCTGGACAGAGATTCTGGATCAAAGGTGACGGTTTAAACACTTTACATACTGCAGGCTTTTCCATATATGAAGGAAATGTGTTGCACCCTATGGGAAATTCATGTATAGCCCAGCCAAATGGGCTCGACGTGTTTCAGGACACTCTAAAACAGGGCTGATCAGTCTGTTTGGCATCTGTCAATTCAAATGGGAACCAACGTGTCTTTTTCTATGCTGAGCGGGAACGTACAACGGTGCAAAACGCGTTTTTTCACACGTGCACAAAACTGCTGAAGTGTACAGATGTGTTAGATCTGTGGCATAAGTGAATGCAAATGTGTGTCATATGAAGATTTTTCTTCACACGTCTTGTTTGTAAAGTCTCTGTAGGATCAGTGATAATGTAAGAAAGTAGCAACAAACAGTCTGGAGCATTTTCTTCCCATGCATTTTTTGCCCTTTTTAAAAACACTACCCTCTTACCTCTTCCAATTACACCAGTGTTGGATAGCCCCCACTTGACAAGCCATTCAACAAGCTGGTGATGTGCATGTTTGATGAGAGGGGACATATAGGCTTATTTTTGTATTTTATTAACATTGCGAGCTCAGTTGATGAATTTGTACACAATCCCTTCAAAAGAGTGCATTGATGGCAAAAATAGTTGACGCTTTCACATTGGGGAGAGTGGTTGGCCTCTTTTGTTGACTCTGAATATTGACGCTGCTGAATTGTGCTGACCAATCCTTTAGAATTAGCAAACAGTGTAATAACAACCTTTGAATTAACTGTTCAAATCATACGCTGGCTGTATTACTTTATAGCACACGTGTGTTAAAATATGTTTTCATTCTGTTTAGGAATTTCTTTTGACTCAGGACCTCCACTTGTGGAGCCCTTTGTCTTTATCTTTAGCTTCTTTATCAAAGGTATCTTCTTGGAGTCAAAAGAAACTCTATATATGATTTTTTACTACCAGGCATTTCTCACCCTGTTTTTATTAGTTTTTCTTCAGGAGAGTGTGGGGGCTTTTGGTGTGAAATGGGCCTGAAGTTCTAAAATATTACATCTCTGATTTGACAGGGAAGAAAAAACATTTATTTTAGTTGGGTTTTTCTTAGTAGAAATGTAAAACATTTAAGTTTTTCATTGAACTCTTCACTTGGAGAACCTGTGAAGGAGTGGAAAGTGCACACATCCATTTGAGTAGTTCCACTCCCATGGTTCCTCCTTTCTCCCACCAGGTGGTGCCAAGTATGTTACCTGTATGATGTGACCAACTGCACGGCCTGTGGTGGTGGGAGGAGGGCACACTGGGGGACGAACTGCATTTAAACGAAGCTGCCTGTTGTGATGCTAAGCAGCAACATGTTGAACCTCATTAGGAAGATAATAACCATTTGTGCGCATTCAGGAGAAGGGTAATTCAGCCCAGAAAAGAGACGTGGCTGTCCTTGTTGGCCTCTTATGTGGATACATGAAATATGTTGGAGCCTGTTAGCATGGCACTTATACCAGATTAAATGTATTTATTTAAGGTATTAGTACCTACATTGAACTTTGTATTAAAGTTCACTGGTGACAGTTCGATGCTTGTTTAGTGTTATGTCACATGCACCTTTTTATGAACTTTCGTGGTGCTGTTTACTGTGCTTCATAGCCTGTGGTATTCATAATATCTCACACTGAGCACATGCAGTGTGGATGATGAATTTAGGAATCTGGTTTGATGTAGTTCTCTGCAGTCCGCACACATTAGTAAGTTCTTATTTGAACATCAATACTGGCCTCAGTTTTTTGGTATTTTCATGCATAAGTGCAGAAATGTTCAAGTTAAAAAAACTGGTTGTCTCCATAGGTTTGCCCTCTGAAGATTACTAATCTTTAAGAAATCATAAATATGTTGCCAAACACAGCACAATGGTGGATTGTGGATTTTGTGTTTTTGTAACAATAGGAAGAAAGGACAATATCTGGAACTCCATGATGTAACAATGAGCAGTTCTCTTAAGTCTCTTAATCAGTCCATCAAATTCCATTACATTGATGAATGTAATGTTTATGTTGATTATTTATTTTAAAAAGCTTGGATAAACTAGTGAAAATGTGGTTCAACTCAGGAACTCATCTGGACATTTTTTTTCTTTTTTGGTAAAAATGACCTGTGATTTAGTTAGCACAAAGTTTTTTAAGAATTTAGGGTTAGAGTTGGTATGTGTGGTACAAAATAGTAATATACATTAATGTATTACAAAATAAGGAAAGTCAAACATTAATTATAACAGTGTTTTTTCCACTCTCTTAGACTGGTCACATCGTAGCATTTTTAACTAAACTTTACAATCATTAATTCAAATTTAGACTTTGGCCACTTTTAAGCACCATGCCAAGCATCCGCATTTAACAAATCTTCATGAACTAAACTAGAATTGAATTGCTTCCATAGCATGTAGTTCAGTTTTCATCCATAACATGGTAGAGCTGTGTCTCAGAAACACAGTAATGTAACTTTAAAGACTTGTATACTAAGAGAAAGCATCATGTGATGTTGCTAATTGCTTTATGTTAAGTTTATTTGGCAATTCTGAACCCCATCTATGTTTTCATTCCTGGCCCTAAACGCCTTTTAATGGACGACACCTGGAAAATCAAGTTTGACTGGGAAGTTGAAAAGTTAAAGAAAGGTAAATGTTAGCTTGTAGGGTTAAGGGCCATCCCTGTTTGTGAGCTTCCACACCAAACATGGATTTAGTTACTTTTTAACACTGTGTTCAGTTTTAGAAATGTTAAAATGTTAGTTTTTAAAAACCTTTTTTTTTGGGTGAAAATATTACTCTGCGTGAAACTCCTACATTTTCCTTGGTGCAGCAATGTAGCAGAATAGTGATTAAACTGACACTTAATTAGTCAATAAATTACTTATATGACAAAATAATATTGTAAAATCATAGTGAAAAAAAATTATATTTAAAATTTCCTTTATTTACATTTTAGTTTAGTAAACACTTAGTAAAATATGCAGAGGGTATGGATTAAATTTAATTTGAGAAGAATGTACAACAGTCATATTGGTCTAGTTTTATTGTGAGTTATTATTATAACTATTAATAATAATAGGGATTCTCTGGATTCTTATTTTTTTGTCTGTCCTTTACACTGAGGTCTGCAGCAACTATCAAACTTTTTTGCTGTTTTGTTATTATGAGTCATACTTTAGTCACAGGCAAATTGACACCATTTTTTGTTTGCTTTTGTTTGCAGTCTTTTGACTTGTGGAGTAATGAAAGTATTCATAATAAAATGAAGCACCGCGATCCATTACGCATATTGGTGGTGTCTGAATCCCAATGTGTAAGGTCAAATGTATACATTAAGGGTTGCCTTCTACTCTTTAAAAACTAATCTGTTCAACATGTTCAACAACTACAGTAAATGCGTTGGGTTAGGGTTACTAATGTTTTATTGTATGATATTCTACTTTTTCACATCTGTTTGGTCCAGTAATGTAAATGTTCACCATGAACTCTGAAAATCAAAGGATTTTTATTATTATTCACAATTCACAGGAGATTTTTTTAGAGGCTGTCAAATGACAATGAAAACTGACGATTAACGGTTTTGTGAAGAGTAACAGTTCATAAACAGAAAAGGGAGATGCTGACAGCTCCTTCACTTGAAATCTTTTGCCCTCCGTGGTTCTTTTCCTTCTGTGCCAAACAGTCTTATATTTTCTCTGCCTGTTATTATTCATCTTCATTAAAGGTGGTAAGAAAAGGGCAAACTAGAATGGAAAAGGCTGGATAAATACGAGGCCTCCACTTTTCATGTTCAACACGCTGACGTGTGACAGTTTTGGGCAAGTGAACTGAAAGGGTTGAGTGTTATAATCTTGTGTCTTTGTATGATTTGAGAACAATTTGCAGATCATGTCTTCCTTAAAATAGTTAAGAGGGAACAGAGAGCATTCCTCTTTCTCCTGAATCAGCCGAAAGAGTTTTATTCACTTTCAGAGTTTTTTTTACCTAAAAAAAAAATGATGGCAGAAGCAAACGTGCTACTTTTTGGGTTAATTGTTAATTGGATTGTTATTCATTACCCCTTATGTGCGAGGCCGTCACCTCCGTCTCGCTGCCTCATTACCACTCTGTCTGTCTGGCACCCTTTGGTCAGTTCTCATCAGCTGGAAAACATCACAGACCGTGTGACCAGAGTGTGAAAGTGGGAGTGTGTGTGTGTGTGTGTGTGTGTGTGTGTGTAGCTTGTGATGTTGGGTCATGCTGTGAGAATGTTATGACGGCCACAGTACAGTTAATTTGTGCTACAGCTCAACTTTTTTTTTTTTAAACAGGCAATCAACCCCTGATTGATTGCCTGTTTTTGTCTGTGTTTTAGTCTGAATCGGAGCAGGACGAGGAGTCTACGGGCAGCATGGGCTCTCCTTCTCTCGCTGTAAGTCCGTTTGGTTCCTTTTTCTGTTGGTTTTTCCTCATTTGATATTTGCCAAAGAGGTCGTAAGTCTCAAGACCGAACTGCTTTTCTCAGAAGCGTACACTTTGACCTTAAAGAGGTTTGTTTTTGTAATGTCCACGTTTTCAGTCCACGTTAAACAAATACGAGAAGTAAAACTTTTCAACCCGCTGGAGGCGTCATCATGGGTGTCTCCCGCAATGTGTCAGTTGGTTGTGACTCAGTCGTTTGTAGGAAATGGATTAGAGGTTTGTGGCCTTAGCATTATCAAGAGTCCACAACAGGATGTGTGTTTGTGCTCCAGTTGGATCCTATAGAGAAAGACTGGATCTATTCTGCTGCCAGTGCCCGAGTTCCTGACCTTTCACAGCTGCTCAGGCAGGACCCCGCGCTAGCCAACAAGAAGGTATCGCCGCCTTCTGATATGACTCTTCAAAAACAACTTAAGTTTATTGAAAAATGATATAATATTTTCACGTTTTTTGATAATACTATAATTAATGGGATTTCTAAGAAATGTGAAAGATGCTCTTACAAGATTGCAAAAGCACAGCAAAATGTAAAAAGCTCATAGAAGAACATATTATAACCCATAATAAAGGGACTCCTTTTAGACAATAAAGCCTTTTGTCGTTGTCCAGGCTGTAAATACCGATAGTTTGGGCCACGATTTGTTCAAATTCACTGCCTACATTCTTTTTCACATTTATCGTATCTTTACTGCATATAGTCTTTGTGTGTTTAATTTCACTAACACATGTTTGTTTTGGTGCTTGGAAAACCAGGACTTCATCTCAGTGAGTATATGATAAACTATTCATAACATGTTGTAAATAAGGTCTATATATATATAATATAAGTATAGCATTTCACGTTTTTCAACAAACCTGAAGATTTTTTCTGTCTTCTGTTCTGAAACCCGATGGCTCCTTACTGTGCCCGTGATCACTGCTTTCAGGGGGTAAGTCTCATCATATCTTTTGCCCAACATGTTTGCAACATTGATAACTCTGTCGAAACCAACTTTCATTTGGACTTTCTTTCACAAATTGCCAACTTTGATTCCTCGCTATCCGAGCTGCAGGCGGCTTTTGTAACTTCCGCCGGCTCACTCTAACCTGATTTTCTCCTTAATGGTGTGCTGAGAACCCGGTTTTAAAACATCCAGATCATGCATTTCAAAGGTCCACTATCAAAAGGATTATGAAAGATAGCTTTTTAGCTCTTGTGCCCCCCTGACAACCCAAATCCTTTTATTTGTCTCCCTGTGCGCTTAAGAGATTTGAGCTCATGTTTGTTGTCCCTCCCCTGTGTCACAGTTCTCACACTGTCCTGTGACCATGGTGGACCACCTTCTAAGAGTGGCCCTAAGCCTCTGCCATCTCCACTCGGACAAGATAGCACGGTCGCCATTGAAGTGTAGGAAGATGGGAAGGAGGGGGGGGATTAAGGGGAGCTTTAATGCCCCACAAATACTTCACCCACTTAAAGATAATCTGAAAGTAATAGAGCAGGCTGGGATTAATTGTAGAACAATGCAGGTTGTGTCCCTGGGAAGGTGCTAAGTCGCCCTCGGGCCTCTTTGATGTTTTAGGCTTCAACCTGTCCCTGTTCAACAGAGGTGGATGCATTTTCAGAGATAGCATTCAGAGATACTGAAAATACAAAAAAAAACTAACGAAAATGACTCCTTGAACTTGAGCCTTCAAAACCTGGAGCCGTCAGATTTGATGTGTGCTTGTCAACGATTGATTCTGCCTAACAGAAGTGTAGACACAGGACAGCCTTTAAATCTCATGTTTGATAAGGACTATGGGGATTACCCTTCATCCTTAGAGGGCTAACGGCTTTCCTGTTTTGACCAAATGTTTGTGAGGATCAGGTGATCTCTTCCAAATGTGATCTTCAAACGACGGCTTTAAGGTGGACTCATGAAAAAGTGAAGGCATAACAAGAGCTCCTCTTACCCAAATCCGCCACTTCTCCCACCAAAGTCTCACATTGTGTTTGTCTTCCCGCTCTCCCCTCATGACGCGCGCCCGTATTCCCGCCGGGACGGACTTCCTCGGCCACACAGTTTGTAAGTACATCATTTGTCCATCACTCCTCTCTGTCTGCCACCACATCCCCGGGTTGTCAAACCTAGATGTCCTTTGTCACTGTCAGTCCTCTTTAGTCGCCACTTCCTTCACTGGACAGCACATGGCAGGGACACAGGAGACCCCAAATGATCAAGCAGCCGGGGGAGGGGGGGCGGGAGGGCAGGAACAGAAACGAAAGGTGCAGAAGTGAAAGGTAGCAGCATCCTGTTCAGCCTCGTCCATCACTCCTGCCCACCGGGGGGCCTGCTGTGCGGCGCTTCGGCCCATCTGTCTTAAGATGTGACAGGAGACAGACTAAAGAGATGGAGATACTCAAGCCAGACAGCATCTATCAAAATCTGTCTCCCTGACGTGCGACATGTAGCTACCTGTCAGTTCCTGATTCTTGTCGGTGGATAGAATTTTTCTCTTCTGCTGCCGGCTACTGGACCAAGATTTCTGTTATGATAAGCATCAGAGCTTTTTAAAAAAAACAAAAGACTCAGTCAGAGAGTAAATAAGCACCAGTTACTCTACTGTGTTACCTCACTGATTCATGGGCATTGAATGCTGCTTTAAGAACATCAAACCGTCGCTGTGTTTTACAAGTTAACTGCAGCAGTGCTGTTGACTGAGGGAGCAATCATAATTACTTTTTTATAATACTGATGGAGACTCAACCTGGTACCAAAATTATCCCTCTCAACCAAATATCTTTGTTGAAAAGAGCTAAAAGAAGGTAGAAAAGCATTTTATGCAGTTTCTTAATCAACAGGTCAGCTGTCTTATCTAGGTGGGAAATTAAAATGGGCAAGATAATAGAAAGAAAATTAAACTGGAGGGTAAATTTCCAAAATGTGAATTTCATTTTGTAGATTAACGTCAAGAAATTTGGCTCAGATGAGAAAAAACGAAATGCTAAAACTTCCTTAGGGCAGAATATCTTTCTGCAATTCAACTGTTCGAGTCCCATGAGGTTTGAAATATCTTAATAGCAGCTCTCAGTTTATGAAGTGACTCATTCGGGCTCTTTGAACACTTTCCTCTATCATTTAACTCCGATTCATACTACAGATGATGCGTGAAAGTAAGAATTTGGGGTAAAAAGGAGATTGTAAAATAAAATATAAATACTTTGGGGTTTATGTATGACTAGATAAATCCCTGAAAAGCATTCCTTCCCATGTGGCTGCTGTGCTGGATGGAGAACTATCCCCATATATAGAAAATAAGATCGCCCCTTGTTTGTTCAGGTGCGACGGTGTTTCTGAGCAGCACCGGTTCAGCTACGGGCTTTTCATCCATCCCCAGTTCGCATGTAATTCTGAAATGGTTACTGTTTGATTTGCCGTGTTAAGGGTCAGATGGCAAACGGGGTTGGATGTGGTTAGTATGCCCAACATCTGCAGCTCCGCTGCCTTCACCTGTCGTTGGCCCGTAATTACGGAGCTCAAAGTGCAGCGGAAAAACAGGAAATCCCAGCCGTAGTGGGACAGGTGGATGTGGTTTGAGTGTGACAGGAGGACGTACGGGTGGATCTCTCCCCCTCTTTGACTGGTGCTGACAGGGCCGCTGTGATGTCTGGGTGGGTCTCCCCTCTGCAGGTCACACTAACATCATCAATCTTTCCCCCTGTTGACAGGCGGCTAAGCCCCCCCCCCCCTACCCCACCCCAGTCGTGGGCACAGTGCTGTGTTGTTTTGTAATTAGGCTTCATTCGATGGCAGGAAACCATCCCTCCTTACCACTACTCCAACCGACCAATTCTCTCTGTGCACAGCTGGAGCCCTGCCAGCAAACAGCCAATAAGAGGCCGCCCCGCTCAGCATAAACACTCTGTAATAATGTCACAGCGCTACTTTATAAATAACAGGGGGTTTTTTTTCTCTTTATACACAGACAGCTCTGCACTGGGCGGCCAAACATGGCAACGAGGACATGGCTGCTCTGGTGGCTAACGCCGGTGCTGATGTCAATACTAAATCAGTGAGTGCAGATTTCCTCCCATTTCTTTGCAGTCATTTTGCAGCGGACAACCTGTGTAAAATAGTAGAAGAAGAAGAATACCCTCTGACATCAGAGATCGTCAAAAGTGCCTTAAACACAACTGTATCTATTAAAAAAACTGTGAGGCGAGGGGACGTTTTTCTTGTCACAGTTAGAGTTTCTCTAAATGTGAATCATCAAATTACCATTATATCTTACCAGATGATTAATCAATCTATGTAAAATATTTAACCCCTTATTAACCAAGACCCAAATTTCCTCAAAGATAAATTATTGGGAATAAAAAACTGAGATAACATGGGCCCCATGGATGAAAAAATGTACAGATACCACCAACTGTCAAAGATACATTATATTCAGCATGTTGCTATATCCATTTTGACTAAAATTAATTTAGTTTCAGTTGTCTGTTTTCTGGCTTTTTAATTTAATCATTAAATCCCTTTTTATTCATTGATTTATTTTTCCACAAATACATAATACTTAATTAGATATTTGGAAAATACTTAATAATTTTATTTGATTCCTTCCATTTTCTAGATTTAAAAAAAGTAGAATTGAAACTTTGTATTTTTTACCTAATTATTTGTTTCTGATTTATTTCTGATATCTGTTTCTGAGAAGAACAAAAAACAAAACCCATTTAACTAATAAGCGTTACACTGACAGTTCAACACCAGTTTCATGTAAATGCCAGAAAATGTAAATTAAGTTGAGTTTGGATTGTGGTGACCCTACTTATTTACAGAAAGGCTCAACCACCACAGAAATCTGGGAATGTTTGTTCTTTGATTGACACTTGTGTGGCCAAAACAGCAGTGTAAGTGGATTTTGGACGTAGTTTATCCACTCCGCTTTATATTCCGAACAATTACAAAATCATTTTGAAAGTTTGATTGCTGAGATGGCGGAAACATGACTCTGGATTTTGACATTCTAAGTATTTGTGTGGATTATCCCAACAACAAAGCACTTTATTATTTTTTTAATGTTCAGTGACATCTATATCTCTGCTTGATCACATATTCAGAGACACAAAATATCTGCAACTGTCTGTACAGAAACAGAGTAAATTTGCTTTTGATACTTACATTTGAACCTGAATGTGAATTTTATCTTTTTAACTCTCTCTTGCAGCATGTGAGTATCCAGACTTTGAACAGGCAGTGATGGGTATGTACAGAACGTGAGTTAGTGACTCGAAGAGATACAAAACAAGGGGTGCTGTGTGATGGGAGGCATTGTGTGATGTAAGGCCCCTTAAAGATTTCTGTGAAGGTCCAGCTGTGCAAATGTATTACAGCAGCATGTGTTGTGGGGCAGCAGCCGTACACTAATAAATCATATGATGTCATGTTAATTGTTTCCCAAAACAGGGTGTCTATGTATCAGCATGCAAGTCCAAAGCTATGCAATTTTGAGTCAATTACCAAGCAATTATGTTTTTACCATTATCTGCTGTTTCCATAACCTTAGCTAATTTGTGTATTTTCTTTCCCCGTGCTGTTTTCATTGGCTGTGTTTGGACCTGGGAAACACAAGGGGGTAGGTGCTAAAACCTTCCATCACCTTAGCCCGCTTGTTTCCAATAGGAGGCTAAGCAAAATAACAATGTCAACTTTGACCAGTTCTGTCTGGGTAATGTTAGGGGTGTGTTTGAAGAGGGAACATTCTCAAAACATACCTGCCTGGAGCTACGTTTGCTCCTTTTTTAAAAACATTATTTATCTATGTTCTGCAGGGATACACACCTTTACACATTGCTGCTTTGCATGGTCATCAACATATCCTCGACTTGCTCATAGGGAGTTACGGTAAAATGCCCTTTCTTTTTATTTTGTCTCACGAAATGGTTGAAAATGCCTTAAAAACTTACTGTGAATGTTGGTTTTACTGAAGTAAAAGGCCTCTTTCAGAGCAGTATTAGTTATGTATTTAGCACTACTAGAAATCTATATAAAGTTAATAAAATGATATTAAAAGAAAAAATTCAATGTAAAGGTGACTGCAGCTTAGTGAGCAGGTATCTCTGTTTTTCCTTTGGATCTCAGATTCCTCCTTTAAGCTCTCAGTGTAAGTTGTCAGGCAAGTACCTTATCTTCTGCCTTCACTGGCTGATCTCTGTTTTGGGGGATTTATTCTTTTCGTCTTATCAGGTGCAAAAGAAAACTTACGAGATTACAGTGGCCATCTTGCCTGCCATTATCTGAACATCCACCACGCGGAATATCCGGGGCCAGGGGAAGATTGTGAGCTGCGTGAGTTAATACTGTTAATAGTTTTTCAGATACACAAAGTGAAAACACATCACGCATTTCTCTGGTGTTGTAAGTTTGCGTTTGAGTTCAAAGCTAGGTCATCTCTTGACATTATAGATGTACTTTCTGTGTTCCTCACAAGTACAGTGAGCTAGCGGATTTGAAATGTGCTGCAAAGTTTGCTTTTGTAAACCAAAAGCAAACAGTACTGTAGCTCATTGTTTGTAAGATTAATCATAGGCTCCTATTTGTCTTATGTGTGAAGTGAAAATATAAAGTCTTCAGCTGCTGAATGATGCAAATGTGACCTCAGTTTATGTTACAGTGAATCTGTGTTCCCACCTGATTTATTTGAGAAATAATTTGGATATTTATACAAACAGCTGAAGATTTGAATAATGACTTGAAAGTCACCACCATGTAAAATATTGGGTTCTCAGCAGCTATTTTAAAGACAGATTCAGATACTGCCAGATTTGACCATATTTGGTCAATGGGGAAAATGGAGAGTACACCCTAAATTTGATTTAAACATTTTCAGTACTTTAAATATTTATAGAATACTTGCAAAGCAAATCCAATTTCACACTGAAAATTATCATCTGAAATAGTCTCTTTTCATTAAGATTAGAAATAAGATAGAAAGCTATCTAACTGTTTAGTCAACAAAAACGAACAATTAATCATTTATTTAATAAAATGAGTGTTACATTCTAATCAGATGTATCTGTAGCTTGCAGTCTTTAAATGTGCTGATAAATGACAGTAACTTTATGAAATGTGCTCAGAATTTGGTTTTCCAAAAGGTTGAAGCTAGTTTCCTTTACATTAATATCTATATAAAAAAAGAAAAACGGCTTATTATTGTCTTCAGCATCTGTTCAAGCACATAAAATCTAATTATCTGTTCATTTACCAGGTAAAAACCAAAGCAAACAGTTCTGTTACAACTGCTACTTCACAGAAGGTGCTGTGTGGTTAGGTTTTGCAGGATTGATCAGCCAGTGTGTCTTTACAGACAGCACAAAACATTTTGGGTCATTTTTTACGTATCGTTGCATGTGACGAGACAGTTTCCATCTGTGCTTTATGTTCCAGTATTTTAGCTGATATTTTAATGCAACATAACCTTAAAAGTACAGAGTATAGAGGGGTGTTGGCATTTTTTTTTTTTTTTTTTTTTTTTACTGGATAAGAGTCAGGCTACAGAACTTACAGTAGTTCCAGTCACTACTCTTAATTAATGTGTGAATCCATTCTCATAGCTTCTAAAGAAATTTCTCATATGCGTTTGCTCTCATAAATTCATTCACTGTTTAGTATCAGTTTTCTAAAATGAAAAAATGTGGAACTTTTGCTCGGGTAGTAAAAAAAAAAAAAAGAAATTATTAATTACTTTAGGTCAGTAATAACACCCAAAAAGGAAAACAAAAAATTTATTAAAACCAAAAGAGATGTATTCTATTATGGAATACATTATGTTAACATTGAACTCCTGCCAGTTGAGCGTCATCAAGAAACCTTTGTTTCATTTGGTTTCAGAGTTTCAAGTAACACAGGCGAGAGAAAGGATCAAGAATAGGAAGCTGGTATCGCTTTTCCACTCCAAGAAAAAGTGGGGGTCAGCGGAGGAGCTGGCTCCAATCGAAGAGGAGAAGACCTCATCACATCAGCTGGTCATTCCTGCTTTCAGACCCCGCAAATTCTCCCGCTGAGGAAAAAACACAGTTATGTAAACACCTGTGTATAAGGTGTATTTATTATGTGCCCCCACAGTTAACATGACGCCCGGTCTTTAAGAAGTGCTGCAGTTGATGCTTTGTTCATGCGTGTGTTTTTCTCACCTATATTTTTACTTAGAAAAGGTTTATTGTTTTTATCGAAGTTCTAAAGATTTCTGCTGAGGTCAGGCAGTACACACATCATATTTTACCTTTTATTTAATCAGACAAACTGGAAGAAACATATCATCACTCTTAGTGATGTGCTAGCTGTTGCAGTTTTTGTAACATGTTGTGAAAACTGTTCTAAATTGTGTGTTTGAGATTTTTTTTTAGTTTGTGGATTTCAGACAGCTGAAATCAAACCACCTTGCCATCGAATATCATGAAGGAATTTGTCAGCTTTGTCACCTCCGGGCCCAGACCAGGGGGACCGGGACCTATCCGTGTTCCCTCAGGGTACTCCCAGCATCCAATAAAACATGCATGGTAGGTTCATTTAAAACTCCAGATTGCCTAGGAGTGTGTGTGTGTGTGTGGTTGTGGTCTATGTGGCCCTGTGATTGATTGTTGACCGGTCCAGGATGTATCCTGCCTCTCGCCTATTGTCAGCTAGGCTAGGCTCCAACACCCCACGACCCATTTGGCAATAAGCGGTATAGAAAATGGATGGAAGTTATGATCTCAGAAGAAATAAAAGTCATTTTAAATGTTACTTAGTCTATTTATAACAGACTAAATCTATTTCAATAAGTTGAATATTAAAAAGTGGATATGTTCTTGTCCTTTCCTACTTGGACATTTTCCTTATAATGAAATAATGGCAGTGAATGAGAAATAAGAGCCACACATGTTTTTTTGTTTTGTTTTTTAAACTTTTTTAAAAGTTACATTCTTCACTAAAACCCTGAAAATGTTATTTCTGAAATTTATACATTATTCACTTATATAAGGATAATTAGAAAAAACCATTTATTTTATTTAAACCTCCAGGCTGTTCAATTTTTACAGTTAAATGTTTTTTTATTTAAATTGGAGTGAAAATATTGGAATTTCTCAGATATCCAAGAATGCAGCACATTGAGTCTGAAATACATCTTATATGAATATAAGATCAATCAACAAAAGTAGCAAAAATCTAAAAAGAGAAACAAAAAAAAGAGGACACACGTTGCAAACTTATCACCAGTTGTGTGAAGTATCTGTTACACTTTTATGAGTCTGCTTCCTGTCAGTTTGGGATGTTGGTTTTCCTGTCATGTTGCAGTTTGTCTGTGTCATGTTTGAGAAATGATCAAATGATTTGATTGCATTCTCATTATTTCTACTTATCCACTGCTTAAATAAGGTATATTGAGAAACGAATTGTATCACATGCTGCTTTGCAGGTGGTTGTTGATTTGTTGCCCCGCTGTGCATCAAATTGCCTGTTAATCTCTCTCAGAAAAGACGCTCCGTGCCATTTGTGCTATTGATATCGCCTAAAAAACATATATTTTTGCACAGTATTTATTATACAATGAACATTTTTTGTCATTAAAAAAATTTCTAGGTGGATTTTTGTAGTATTTTCAACCTTTCTCTCTTCAGACACCCTAAAACTGCTACGTTCTCTTTCCGTGGGTACGCCGGAATTGACAGCTCCAAGAACCTGTAATAAAGCCCCCCCCCCCCCCCCCCTTCCCCTCCTATCCGCACAATAAGTTGAGTTTTTAAGCTTCCTTTGATCTCACTTTAACTACCTGACTTTATGGGGTACAGCTGGAGCAAATATGGGCCCCGCTAACTCTCCATACGGCTTTAGACCTTAATTCCTGATTAGCTGAAAAGGGCAGCACTTGCTTTCGGGTCTTTGGGATATCAGACGACACAGAGGGGAACAGAGGCAAGTGTTTTTGTGCTTCATTTTTGAAGCAGTGATGTTGGAAGGATAAGAGGGAGTTTCTGTAATAGATACTTATCTTACTGCCCTCAAGCCCCTCAAACAAAGTCCCCCTCTGAAGAGATTAAAACCCAGGGAGGGCACATTAACTCTAATCCATTGCTTTGAGGCCTCGCACCCCCATACCACCCTCTGCCCCACTTATTTCAACCCTTCTGTTGTTTTGGGAGGGGGGGGGTACCTTGTTTCTAGTGAGTGTATGTGTAAGGTCTACACATGAGAGGTGTGTGTGCGCATCCATATGTGTTTGTGTGCAAGTCAGGGGGTGGGGGTGGGGGGGTGGGGGGAGGGACTGTTTCAATAGCACGCTGACTCTAATGAAAAGCATTGAGGGGCGCATACTGCTGTGTAACTGATTCCTCTCTCTGAAGAGATTAGGCGCTACATTGTTGGTCCGGTTGCTCATTTCCATGAGAGCACCAGCCTCCCACCGGCGGCCGCTCGCCTTTGTTATTTTGAGTTGGAAAACACAGAGGCCAGTGTCCCCGGCTTCCTTGTTACCATTGTTTCACAAATAGGGCAAAATGTAGATGTCATGTCACAGATGCCCAATAACCTCATTAGCTGCTCTCTGTGAGGCTTTAGTGGGAAAATAATAGATGCGTGAACTTCACTTTGTTCAGTAGATTGCGTTGTGATAAGAGGACTCGGAGGAACTTTTGTTTTCCAATAAATTTGCGGAAAGGGGAAAATGTGTCAGTTTGTACCACTAAAACCCTAAAAATATACAGTGAGTACATTCCATGTACTCATTGAAGTTGTCTTGGACTTCTCAGTTCTTGCTACTAATCTTTCATTAGTAATTTATACACTAGATAGGCTTCAGTAAGTGTTAACGATTCAACAATGCGTTCGGCCAGGACAACAATTAACAATTTATAGGGTAATCTAAGACACAGTTTAAGTCGGTTCTTAACTGGTTCTGTTGGAGCAGATTCCTTTGAAACATTTCCAAAACACCTGGCTCAGGAAAAGGAACTCCTTTTTCATTGTTCAAACTTAAGCGTAATCTTAGTGTAAATAGCACACTAATAAAGCAGATTAAACAAAAAAACAGGGATGGGATCTATGAGGGATGAACAGTTTGAAATTCGATTTTAGTAACACAGCAAAGATATGATTCAAGCTTTGGTTTTGTGCATAGGGAAATATTTGTACATAGTTTTTTCAAAATTTGTATGACAATATTTGTTTTCTGTAACAATAAATTCCTCTTGCACGTGATAATATGTAATACAATTTTTTTTAATGATACTATCTGGTGTAAAAAGATTTCAGGACTGAAAGTCTGTACGATGAACATTTTGTTTTAAAAACAAACCAAGAATACACAACATGCTAAATCGTCCTATCTGAAAAGTGTGTGAGACTTGATCGTTTTTAAATATATTCTTGGCACTGATGTTGCAGTTGGAATAAAATAGATTCTTCTTAATGTCTTAAAGTATTTGGCAGGAAAGATGAAGTCAAACTAGAAAACAAAATAAATAAAAAATTGATATGCAAAGTTTAAAAAGTGGCCAAACGCCAATTATAATGTCTAATCTCTGAGTTAAAATTGATTACTTTATATACTGCGCTACCTGTAAGATGAAAAAAGATAGAAGTAAAACTTTTTCATTCACATTTGTCCTTTTTATTCTGCTGTAACACTAAAAATATTGGCATGTGAGTACCGATTTCAGAGATCACACCTCAGAGAGAGTATGTTTATGTTTATGTTTATGCATTTGACAGACGCTTTTACAGAGTGGACACAATATTACATTTCTCATCACAATGACAATAAACTATATAGAGGAGAAACACTTATCAGAATCAGTGGTGACAGCAAGAGATATAGGTAGAGGGGACCACAGAAGGAGGAAGTAGGAACCCTAAAATTTCATAATAAAAAAGGTCCATGTACAATCATTTAAAAAAAAAAGAAAAGAAGAAGCTTCTCTGCCTCTTTTGTGTTACACATGTTGCTGAAACCTACATTTGAGGTGGATAAATGGCCTGAGAGGCAACAAGCAAGCCCACCGGGGGGGAAACTGCTCTGACCGGGCTCCTGCAAACTGACCACAGGGCCTCTGACCGGGGCTACCATGTGACCAGCTGTCACGCCGGCCGTCACGATTTGACCAACGCCGCCTGTCAGTCACCCCGCAGAGGGGCCGTCAATCAGGGCCGCTGCCCGGGAGGGGGGCCGGGGGGGGGCGGGCCGCTGGGGGGGGCATTAACAAAGACACACTCACATTTGCAAGCGCTTTCAGCGCCACTACTATTTTGAAAGAATGATAGAGTGGAGCTGATAAGAGTAATGACAAAGGACAAAGACTGGAAGGGGGTCTGAGGAGAGGGGGGGTCAAATAGTAAAGAGGTGGGAGAAGCTTGATAACATTCACACTTGGGCTTACATCTCCCATTTGTGTTGTTGCCCCAGGAAAATCCCATTAGGGCGGAATATGGAAGCCGATTGTCGTCAGTTGTCCGTCTAAATTTGAATTTTTTTTAGTTTTACCATGATAAATATCCACTTTTTCAAGCTTTTCGTCGTTTAGTACTTCCTAATGACAACATTTTTATGCCATCTAGCTCACAACTGATGAGCTTTTGTCAGTTTTCTCCCTTTTTAGAGGCAAATCCAGCAAAAATAAACTAACAAGCCATAGGTGTTAAGGACTGTTGATTCTCTTTGTTGTTTGGTTCACACCTTCCTCTAAGCTATTCTATCTGCTTGTTTCGTCCCTTTTGTCAGCTTTCAGGTAGGGGATGTTCTTTAATTGAGGTCACACCCAAAGCTATTGTCGTGATCTGGTCATCAGACCACTTGCACTACATTCTGCTTTTCATCCACACCAAACCGCCTTTATTTTTATGATGCGGAACATATGCACCATTTTGCAAATAAATGAGGACTTTCAGTACTGTTTGGGCACAGAAAAAGCCCAGGCGTTATCAGGGGATGGAGATGGTTTCATCCGCTTTGCTATCTGGTATTATCTCTTTAGGCACTGAGAACAATCGTCCTCCATTTGGTGTCTTTTCGCTCCCGTAAACGACTTATATCCTAACGGCAAACAGCGCTAACCAGAACCTGTCAGACCGACACCTGCATTGTGGCAAAAGCCGCCAAAAAGAGGAAGAGAATGTCCTACAAGACGGACAAAAGCTCCGGCCCTGAGCTGTTTGTGTTGAGAGATGTCGGCCACTGATGCCATAAGCCTCCTTCTCTTCGTTCTTTAGCCGCTCCATTGTTGCTCTTGTACAAATTTGCTTAAGGCCATGTGGACCCCACCCAAATAAATTCCTCCTTCCCCTCTGCCTTGGCCACTTTTTTTTTCCTTTTCTGTTGCTACAACAGCAGCTCATACTCCGCATACCCCTCGTGTTTTATTTCACTGCTCAGTGACTGTTTTGTGAAAATAAATAAAAATGATAAGACTGATGGGTTGTAATGTTTTTTTTTACCCCATAAACAAAAAAACAAACAAACACATCCTGCTTGATGAGAAATTGCTGATATCTTTGGTTGAATATTTTACCATAGCAACATTCCCTCCACAGTTGCTGATAATATATCTGGTCTGATATTGAACATATTCAACAGTTTTCCCACTGATAATAATAACTAAACTGTTCACCTGACCATAAAATCTGGCCATAAAATCAAGAATGTATATATTTTTTCCAGATTCACAGTTAAAACAGCATCAGTACAGAAGTTATTTTGTTTAAAATAGTTTAAATTGAAGCACAGCTCCTCACTTATAAGTAAAAATGGAAAACCTATGTAGTTTGGAGGGGAGCTTTCTTGATGTCACTCTTCAGTTTCACACAACTCCCTCCAACGATCGAACAAACATCTGTATCGCATTAAACTCATGCGATTTCCTTTGTGTTCATGCAAACAAAAGCAATAAAAAACACTACTTTGTAGTACAACACAGAGGATATTAGCTTGTGGTTATGCCAATAAACTCTGAGGGCAGACGGCTGTCAATAAATGCACTGGACTAAAAACACAGAGCCTAATCTTTGCCTCTGACATAGAATGCAACAGAGCCTAAACTTATAATAAATAATAAATGACTGCTCCATTGTAAACTCTAATATGAGAGCTTTTTTGGAACATCAAAGATAATATCAAACATTTAAAACTTGGAAGATGCATTCACAGGCCTGTAGTTTAAACAAAATGTACATAAAGAATAGCAGATGCTCCTTATGTTTCCTCTATTCTAACTGTATAAGTATATTATCTGTATGTATTTCATTTATCTGTTAATCTAGGATTCTGTATGTCTCGCCAGCAGTATCTTCTAAATGGATAAATGGGAAAAAGCTAGTTTGCTTTATTAAATTAACTAAATGCAAGCATTTGTGCATTTGAATATTTTCCTATATTATATACCCAGTCTTAATTAACCAGTCTTAACTACCAACAGGGTAAAAGTAAGTTTAAAAGACAATTTTTGGGCAATATGATTGTAAGAACCTGAATTAAAATTGCCTGTAAAATCAAGTGTGTTTAATCAAAAGCAAACTGGGGAAACCAAAACATTTCCAAGACTCAATCATCAAGTAGCCAGGATCCAGGTGAAACCAGAAAAGACCCAAAAATAAATAAATAAATAAAGAAGACACAGCCTTTAAATCAATTTATCGTCGGATTATCAACCCTTTCAAATTAGACGAGAAAAAAACGGTCTGTCATTATCTCTGAAGGTTTTGATACTTCTCTGCTGTTTTATGGACGCTTCATCAAAGCATGGCCAACCAATAGTGAGAATAAAACGGCCAAAATAATGGTCGATAAGAGGTCCGCGCGCCTTTGAACGCAAACACCCAGCTTTGCTGGGGCTCTTTTGAAGGTTATGAGGGGGGAGAGCAGAATAAATGTAATCTTCGACTCTTATCTCGGACACACACACACTCACACACACGCACACACGCACACATGCGCACTCATTAGCATATGTTATCTCGCAATTATCATTTACATTAGTCAACACCTGTTTTGCTTAACTTGGTTTAATTAGGGCCATTGAAACGTTGGAAACTAGGACATCAATGTGTGGAAGAACAGTTGAGAAGAACATTTAAAAGCACGCTTCTCATCCCGTTCTAGTTTTTTTTAAACTTTTTTTTAAAGGACAGCTTCTTTTTTGGAGCTTTTACGCGTGCGCAAAATGTTCTTGTTTATTTGCCCGATTTGATGCTGCAAGGGGTTTAATTTAATTTAATTTACACAAAAGAAGATCTGGAGGTGCTATAGTGTCGGAAACGGCAGCAGAACCTCGTGTGATGCTGTTAACTAAATTCGGGCCACTTTTGTTTTTTTTTTGGAGTCTCCACCGATTAGTGCGAGACATCTTAGGTGTTAAAACGGCCACAAGCACGACATCAAACGCTCTGTAGACAAACAAATAAACGTAGAAAAATATACTGTGACATTCTTATCTAAAGTCTGAAGTTTGTTTGCGTTGGAATGCTTTTTTAAAAAAGTGGCAACCTTTATTCTGCGCGTTTAACGAGCGGTGACGCGATTTTTGGAAATCAGGTGTTCGGTGCCGAGAGGATGGTCTTCGCTTAAAACTTTATTCAAAGTGAGCTGTTGCATTTGAATCGAGAGTTCGGTTCCATCCAGAAGTCGCGATAAGACCCGCGTATTTAGCCTCTCCATGACAAACACTAAAAGGAACAGCGGAGAGCGTCTTTGATGGGATTTGTTGGAAGAGTGAAAGCTGTGGGTCTTTTGAACGTGGATTTCAGTCAGTGGCATGGGGGGGACCTCCTCCCCCCTGAACACACACACATCTACACACACACACACACACACACAGTGGCAGCTGGGTGTGTATAAATAGGAGCGGGAGGCTGGGTTGGCCCCTCAGACCTGAACATTCCCGGGACGCAGGAAACATGCCCGCATCGCAAACTGGATTTGGCAGTTTCGTTTTGGAGAGGAACGTCACCATGCCCCCTGGATATCACATCCCCGTGCTGGGATGTCCGTCGACTGTCCAGCAGCAGGCTCAGCATCTGGCGGCCATGGCGGCCGGGGTCCCCGTTTACTCAGGACTACAAGGATTCAACTTCCTCCCCTATCCCCACAGACACATCGCACACATGGTGAGTTGGATTAAGATAAATAAACGAACCAGTGGCTGGATTTTAGATATACAGTGGGGGGAAATAAGTATTTGACCCCTTGCTGATTTTGCAGGTTTGCCCACTTACAAAGAATGCTTGTTTTTCCTCATCAGATGGTTATCAATTTTTATAAATTCATATGATGTGATTTTCTGGATTTTTCTTTGGGATTCTGTCTTTCACTGTTAGAATGTACATATGATTAAAGTTATAGATCGTTGCATTCTTTGTAAGTGGGCAAACCTGCAAAATCAGCAAGGGGTCAAATACTTATTTCTCCCACTGTATAATAAATGAACCAGTGGCTGGATTTTAGATATCATTTAGTCAACTCTAGATTATTCTCTGATTTGGATAAGTCAAATGCGTCCACATCCATCCGTTATGCGTAAATATCCTTGCCAAACTTTGCACATAGTCACATTTCTTCTTTTTTTCTCTTATCAGAGCAATGGTTTCGACTTGAAGGCCGCCTCTTCCTACCACCACGCGCTCCTGGCGCGCGGAGGTGGTTTCTACCCTCCATACCGCCCGGGGGCCGCGGACGACCCGGCCAGGGTGGCCAAAGTGGCCACCCGGGAGAGCACGGGCGCGCTGAAGGCCTGGCTCAACGAGCACCTGAAGAACCCCTACCCGACCAAGGGGGAGAAGATCATGCTGGCCATCATCACCAAGATGAGCCTCACGCAGGTGTCCACCTGGTTCGCCAACGCGCGCAGGCGCCTGAAGAAGGAGAACAGGGTCAGCTGGACGTCCAGGGGGAAATCGGACGAGGAGGACGAGGACCAGGAGGGGGAGAGCCACTCGGATGAGGAGGAAGAGGAGGCAGATCCTCCTGGAGGAAGCGGAGACGCGGATGGGGATGTCAGAGGCGCGCAGGAGTCCGCGGACGCGCGCCTGGGGATGCCGGCGCAGCCAAATAACGCAGCTGAGAAGGGAGAAACTGACCACACGCCCTCGGTTTTGGACAATAAAGACGACAACGCCAGCGTGAAGCCAAAGATCTGGTCTTTGGCCGAAACGGCCACCTCGGAGACCGTGAGGAAGCCCGTGGTCAGCGTGCCCGTGGACAGCGTTGTCCAGCCCGCCGGGAGGCTGTGGGCAGACTGGGCATCACGGAACGGACTCTTTCTTCCAGCCTATTACACAAATCACGAACTTGTCTGAAACCGAGGACTTTTTTTTTTTTTTCCCTCCACGATATTTTTGCACTTTATACCTTCAAATCTCATGGACTCCCTGAAGTTTGCAATAAGAATAATAAAAAAAGAAAAATCAAATTCGCTGCGAGACCAAAGACTAATGAACGAGTTGTAAATAACGTAGATGTATTTTTCCACCAGCGAGATGTAAATTATGTTTCCTTTGTCTTACCATAGGGAAGTATTTTGATAAAAATAAATGCTGTCCTCACGCTATATTTTTCGTTTATTGGTATTTGTTTGACTTTGGCTATACACCTCACAAACAGGTTAAAAAAAAAATGCCCCATGAGAACTTTGTTCAAACAGAAGCTAGAAGCACAGAAGTTGGTCATTTGCACATCAAACCCAAACCTGTTAAACCCTTCAAAAGACTAATCCCTGTTTTAAAACCTCCAACTGATTTGTCTCAACAGTCCTCTGAATCCACATTGGCCAATTTCTCTAAAAACTAAACACACTCCTAAGAATAGGACAGTAGCTAGTCACAGGAGTTTCACTTGAGATGCTTGACTAAAATGGTTTCTTGGTAACTGTAAAGAAACCTTTATTAAAACTAATTTAATCTAACATAATATAAAAACTCCAAACGGCCAGAGATGGGCCTTGTGGACTGTTCTAACTTGGACATATCCCTTCAAACAAGAACAGACTGTCAGATGGGCAGTTGCCATTTTAATATACAGTTTAACACCACATTTGAAAATACTCAAATTGGTTAAAACATGTCTGGTTGGTTTGTTTTTCTTTTTAAAACAGCACTCCTGCTGTTTCACATCCAAGATTCTGGTGAAAATAGGTCCACAGTGGAACTCTGGCGCCCCCATGAGTCCGGCAAGTGTTACTACAAGCAAAGAACACAGATGATGGACTGAAGTGCGCATGCGCCGTGAGACTAATTACCACCATCCCGTCTAAAAAACAGGGTTTCTCTCCACAAACGTCGTCAATGTTTGCCTTAAGCTTGAACATATGGGCCTGAGCTTCCGGTAGGAGAAAATGTGTGAATGTGACTTACATTTACAGTTTGCATATTTTCTTTAAAGGTCTTTTTTAAAACTCTTTTTACCCCAGTTAACTGTAATTGTCAATGATGATCCGGATAATTAAATTTCGGATAATTTATTTACAAATAAGTTGTGACTATGAACACATCCAGGCAGCAGAAAAAGGCCAAACTTAAACCTTTGCTTCTCGTTGCATAAATAAATGCATTTTCATTTGAATGGGGCCTTTTGATGCAACACTATCACCACCAGTAGAAAAATACGTTCAACTAAAAAGAAAAGAAAGAAGAAACTTTAACAAAAACAACTTTATGCACTTTCAATGCAAAGCAAAACATTACATGCAAATAGAAACACAATTAATCAAAATCACAGTAAAATAGACAGTAAAATACAACATCAAAATTCATTCAACCAAACTTTAAACTACACATATCTATATGTACATTAAATAAAAAAAATTGACAATGTACTTTAATACATCTGTTCAAGGATGAACGGCACAACCTGTTAAATTCATGAATTGTATTAGTATCAGACTCATCCTGTTCAAAGAAGCATGAGCACCCCCCAGATTATGGAGAGAAATGGTCTATTCATCAACAGGGACTAGCAAGGCAAACCATGTATCAATTAAGTCACGTCTATAATCTTTGATGAATCTAATGAATGTGTTTTGGGACAGTGGAAAAAATAACTTTGAGATAATCCACACAAGAACAGGAAGTGCATGCGAACTCCTCTTGAGGAAATCACCTTCAGCAGATGACCAGAGAACCTTCTGTGAGGGGGTGCTGCCCACCACGGGTCACACTCACTACACTCCCCGTCTGGGACTCCTGTCGAGAGACCACTTCGGCTTTCCCGAACTCCTGGGCCACGTAGTTGCCATTTAAAGTTGCTCCGTGGTCTTCTGTGGACATCTCCGGAACGCTCAGTTCGTCCTCATTTTCTACCGGCATCCTTATCACGGGGATTCTGACGTCTGGCGTCTTCTCATCTTCATTATTCAGACGCTCCATGAAGCCCTATGAAGGCAAAACACACCATCTATCATATATCAGATAATATCAAAACATATAGAGTGTTTAATGTGATTATCAAACACAATCATATAAAGCCTTCTGGAAGAGATGTTGACATGATCTTTTTTTATGAACACAGAGTTAAAAGTAATCCCAAAACTGTAGACAATTCTTTCAACCTTAAAGGAAAAGCTGGAACAAAACAAAAACTAAAATATATTGATTTTCAGAAGAACTGAAATAATTAAAAAAGGATTCTATCTTCATTATCCAGGTAAACAGATTTTGTTTAACAAACATTTTAGCCAATCTTTTAAGTTCTCTGCAGGAAATAATTGATTAAATATATAATTTATCTTCTTCTGATTCACTGGCATGCAAGTGGAATCATACGCGGTTTTAAAATGACATAAATGACACCAAATTCCCAGGTCAGCTTGCGAGTCAAGTGGTTATTTTTATCTTTAAAAGTGTGGGAGAAAAAACAAAACATTAAAAAGTCAACCTTCCTAAACTCTTCCAAACTAACCTCATAACCGGACAATGGTATAAAACCCCATTGAGAGTTACACTAATTTCCAGTACTCTGCCCAATGAATGTATCTATCATGTGTAAACATGCTATTTTGTGTTGGTATCCTACCTAAGTTGAGTCCTTTAATTACATCTGATTTTTTAAATCATTAAGGGAGACCACTGATGATAACATAAACACCTCTCCCATATAGTACAAATGTCAGAGCCGTGCCAGACAAAATAACAAAATGACAGTTTGTAGTATCATTGTTTCAACACAGTGTGAGTGGATAGATGCAACATTTTGTTTACACTGGTTATTATGCAAAACAAGAAAAACTCTCATTTACCTTCGCTGTTCCTGTCACATATCCTGATTTTTCTAGTACAAAGGAAGGAAGGAAACAAAAAACGTGAGCACGTTACATGATTACGGACACTGGAAACATGTTGAGAACATTAAGAGCTCAACCTACTTCGATACAGGAGTATTACAGCTGCGACTGCGCCCAGGAGCAGGAGTGCTATGATGCAGTACAACGCTATGTGAGTCCTCCTATATACTGTAAGACAGGAGAAGGAGAACAAAACAAAAGCAATCACTCACTGTTTACAGTTATGTTGGACACAGGATGCTGTATCCTGAATAAACATCGCCTGGGCAAAAAAAGAGGTATTTAAGTAAATAGATATGAGCGCCTATTGGATGGCTACTTTTTGTGTATTTCTCAGCTGGCAAATAGTTATTTAACCCCAACTGATGCATTTCTTTAACAACCATGCAGAAAGACATATCCCATCGTCGTGTAAAAGATGTTACTATGCTTAGGAAGGGTTAAATCATTGGCATGCATCCAGCAGGGAAACATCCTATTGCAAAATCTATTAAAAATTAACTTAAAATGGATCTGAGACCTTTTGCATCATTTCTTGGTGAATTTAAACAAAAATTAGCCTAAAACTCAGTTTTACACAATCAGATATACCTGATAACAGTGGGCCAAAGTCTACATGACAATAATTTTGACTGTAATGAATGTTTGTCTCTGTATTTAAGCATTTAAATATGTAATAATTACTAAATACTATTAATAATTGCATGTATACATATTTACATCCCATGGAGGGAATTACGATTTTGTACTTAAGTGCTGTTGCATTAGCTGCCTTTACAAAATCATTTAGCAGACAACTATAGATCGCAAATTGTACTTTTTATGTCTAAAAATATCAATTTTAGTAGTTCAAATGTTGTAAAGTCTTTACCATAGGTAGTGTAAATACTAAGAGTGAGAACTCTCCATCTCACACTCAAAACCACGGACCGATCCAAATTCATACAATATGACATATAATGTATGAGGTACTTTCGTTTTGAACATCACACTGCATCTAACCACGCAGCTGTGGATGGGAGGAGGTATAGAGGTGAGAAACCACAAAACACTCACCGCAGGTGTTGTCAGATTTGTCGGTTCCTTGCTGATAAATTTCATACCCTGAGTCACATCTGAAAGAATTGTACATTTCCATCAATAAAAAAAAACCTCCCTTCATTTTTTCATTTACTTATTAGCCAAATTTAGTGTTTAAAGTAGAGCCGCAATATTGAATTCTGAGTGAAGTAGCTTTTTTTTTTAAATAAATGGGGCAAAGCCCCACTATATTCGCTCCAAACAGAGTTAGGATTATGTAGTCATATGGATCTTATGGATGGCAAGGCAGGTTGCTACTTTAAGTATAGGCAGACATACATTATTGATTTTAATACTTACTCTGTCCATTTATTACAAACTGCCTCCTTTGAGGTCTCATTGGAATATGTACCCTCGGGACATTTCTGACACACGGTGTCAGATGTTTGACTGCCTAAAAGTGAAATGTAATAAATGTTAAAAACACTTTCAAGCCAAAAAAAGAAGCAAAGCTTATGAGTCTTTATGTTAATTTCCCTGTATCAAAAATATGCACTGTACCTTTGATTTGAACACCAGATCCTGGGGTACAGGTGCTGTGTTCAATACAGAACAAACACTCTTTGGTGGAACAGTAGAATCCCTCTTTACACACACATGTGGTCTTCTTAGTGTTTTGATGGACTGGACTGGCAAAATTTTTGTCTGAAAGAGGAAAGGTTTAGAGTTGAGGGCTACTAAACATCAAAGCAAGAGAAAGTTTGTGTGAATTGTCGCAAGCTCGTACTGGGATCGCAATACGGTTGACGCTCGCACTTGTCCTCTTTGGTGTATTTATCTTGATATTCATTCTCCGCACAGGGGTCACACAGGGGTTCATCACAAGTGCCTAGATTCCGCATTTTGTACCCTGGAAAGGAAGTTGTAATTGAAGGCTGTTATTCTCCTCAAGTGAAAAAGGCAACTGGGTTTACAGAGTAAGTTCACTTTTAAACAGAAACTGTCATTTTTATCGAACAAAATGCTATATTCACATGACTGTTAGCTCAGATTTCCATTGGTGATGAAAGAATTAGCCATAAATGCTCATCAAACCATATGCTAGTGTCAACCGATGTCCTACTTTTTGTGTATTGCACTGAGAAATGTCATAACTGACCACAAAACTTAATATAGCATCAATTAAACAATATTTAACTGAAAACAAGTCTCATCTAATCTAATTTGCCTGATCTAAGTGCTAACAAATGAATATAAAACAAATATATATACTGTTATTCAATAACGTATGGGGTTATTTCATGCAGGAGAAAGTGAAAGGGTTATTCAATGAAGGAAAAGACTGAAACTGAGTAATATGGGTGTTATATTTTCTTGTTTTTTTTTTAAAAACTAAGCTTACACTCACAAGCTTACAGGATATATATAACATGTGACTGTTGTTGTTACAGTAGTGGTGCGTTTACTTACCTGGGCCACACATTTTGCAGCACACGCCGTCCTTTTCATACTGAGTTTCTGAGTCACAGTGATGCTGGGCTGCAGCTGTGGCCTGCGACATAAAAAGCACAAGAGGTGGTTTTGATCTCATATCAACTCTACTAATGTTTCTGTCTTAGTAGAGTAGAGTAGAGTAGAGTAGAAGAAGACGGTTGGTTCACTTCCTCTGAGCAGACAGAGAGGGGCGCGGCGGGAAAGTACCAAACATTCAACAGACTCTGAACCCCCCGGGAGGTAGCAGGTGCGCTCATTCGTTTTAGGGCTTTTTTATTATCATTTATGCTCTTAAATAACACCCTTTTCATTATAGTGGTCTATATAATGCCATGTCTGACGTCATTTTTGCTCCTGCAGGGAAATGGAAAGTGAAAGCATCTCCAGTGTGGGGCAGAGTGAGGAGGGGACTTGAAAAATTAATCGAAAATCAGTGATATAAATACAAATTATCTAAGCTAAACACTAACAAAAATGGCAAAGAAGTCGAAGTTAAATTCTCATAGAAACAAACCAGGGAACAGCTGTGTCATATTAGCTTCTTTATTTCGAAAAAGCGTTCTTGTCTACTTTTTTTTTTAAGCTACGCCACGCGCGAATGGACTCACCATAAAGAGGCACATCGTAAGGGTCAGGAATACCCGCATGGTGCTGAGTTGTGTCCCAGGTAGGGCTCCTTCTTTTGCTCCTCTGTGCTCACAGCAAACCTCCCGTATGTCTCACGTCGCCCTGCCCAGCTGTTACTGCTTTACTACCCGAGGGGAGGAGTTGGAGGGGGAAATTTAGTTTTTTTTTTTTTACTTGACCGTTTCCTGTAAAAGCACGTAAACGTCACCCATATAAACACGAACTGTCCCGTCATAAGCGTTAAGCTTGAAGTATTTTACGTACAATACTTTACGTATTCAGTATACATTCAGACACTCACCAAAGCCCGGACTCTCACTATGACTTACGTTTGTAATAATGTGTTTAGAAAGAGCAACTAAATGAGTCATGACAATTGAACTGTCACTTCAGTTCGTCTATTTTTCATATGAAAAACGAGGGTGTAAATTAAGGTATTTTCAACTCGCTCGCTCAGTTCTAATGAACATCCAAATGAAGTTGTTGTTTGTACTCTCGACCACAACTTTTACCAAAGGGATTCCCCAGAAAGATTTGATTGGGGGATTTCCCACTTTTTCACGTGCTGTGAAGTATTCCCCCTCTCCGTGTGTTTCCCAAATGGACACTTTAATGTGTATGAACTGAGCTGAGCTAAATTGGGAACATTTTTGGAAATGAACAAGTTGTTTTTTTGGTGAATAATCTGATTTTGATAGGAAAGTTTTGTCTTAATAAATGTAGATTTTTAAAAACCAAAACAAATTTAGCCAATTGGAAGAATGATCCAATTTTTCTAAATCTCTGAAATTAATGGAATTAATTTGTCTTTTTCAACTTGATCAAGGTTATGGCTATGTTTGTTGTTCAATAAAGTACTAGGAAAAATTAAAAAGAAAGAATCCTGATTCTGTTGGGTATCCAATCATGCATCTGTTCTGAGTTGCTGGGAGGAGTCAGTAAACCTGGGCACTAAAAGTGACACAACACCTACTCTCTGGAAATTCCAATGAATTCCTTCTTGATTTTCTTGCTCTGTACTGTTTCACACCATATGAATGAAGCTTTGTACATTTTTGAGGAACAAGAAAAAATAATCCAAGAAAGTTTTTTTGTGAGCTTCCCACATTGCTTCCGTAATTGGTTTTGGCCCGACAATGGGATTCCCACCCGAAACATTCATCATAGCATATGTCATAGATTTCTGTGAGACCTCAAATGACCTTTCCTCATTTAGTTTTTTGTTTTTTTTCTATGTCCATTTGAACTTAATTTTTCTCTCGGTCTTTCTCAGCAAGTATCCATAAGCTGCTGATTTTGGTGTTTGTTTTCCCCGTTATGTCCTTTCAAATCCCAGCTGGTAAAGGTCAATGTCCACCAATCATACATAGCTCAAAAAGCAAAAACACAGAAGTTAGACAGATGTATTTACATGAAAGTGTTCATATTATATGTAGTTTAACGATGTAACTGAACAAACTTGTATTCTTGTTCGAAATGAATAGGTCAACTTAGAAAGAATGCTCTTAAATAGTCACAGAAAAACAATTCCAATAAGAGCTAAAATGCTGTCTTTTTATAATGCATAAGGTTGCACTGATGATACCTAGAGATTGAAGTAGCCATGGCAACTATAATTTTGATCTTTTGGCATGAATATACAATCCACATACATGTTTCTGTAAGCAGTTAAGTCTGAACTGGGCTTACGTGAAATTAAATGATAGCCCATTCCAGTTGTGACTGGGCAGGAGACATGGTGCACACTGACAAACAAGGCAAACAATATACTTCCAAAGACGATTATAAATCAGCATTTAATCTAACATGAATGCTTTTGAATGGTGATTGGAGGCTGGAGTGCTCAGGCAGAACCCATCCATCCATGAGGACATTGTGTTAGGCAACAGTTCTTACTGAAACACAAATATAAAAATTATATGAAATAACTAAAAATGAAAATATCATAAGTATCTGATTTGGGACATGTGTTTCACAGTGGTGTGTTGGTTAGCTGCTGTGCTTCACAGCAAGAGGGTTGTTTTGTGGAGTTTGCGTGTTCTCCATGTATCTGAGTTCCCTCTGGGTACTCCAACTTCCTTTTATACTGCCCACCCTCAAAAAAATAATCCATTTGAGGTTAATTGTGGACTTTAAATGTGACTGTGTGTGGTTCGTCTATGTGTGGCCTTGTGATGGACTGCCAACCTGTCCAGAGTGTACCCCACTTCTCATACAATGTCAGCTAGGATAAGCTAGAGTTCTTACTAGGAATAACTGATATGGACAATGGATAGATAATTTAGGATAACATATGAAATTGGCCTTAATCAAATTGGGGAAAAAATCTTTGCTAGAGTTCAGACTGTCATCACTTTTTGTCATACAAGACTTGATCAAGAATAAAACAGGCACATTTGAATTCATAGCGACATGTATTATGGCTATTTGCCCAAAATGTTTTAAATGATTATTATTTTCTCTCTAAAAGATTAACAGATTGGTAATGATTGTCACGAACCAAACAGTTCACAGCACAGCCACGTCGATTTGTTTTCACTTAGGAAATCCCCTTTCTAACAAGTAGAGAAAAACAGGAACATGGTATGTCTCACCAGAGCTATTTAGGATCACTTTATTACTTGAACAAATAAAACTTGATAACTGTATGACATTATATTCTTTGCTATCCATAGGAAAGCAAACACAGGTTCCTTGCGCTCTCTTGTGGATACAAAAGTAAGAGGGAACAGAAAGTTTGTGCTTGGTTTTGCAAGTGGAAACCTGAAAGTTGCTGGTCAAAAAAAACAAACTGAGTGCTATGTGGGTGTGGCTGAACAGGTTTGGACAAATACCTGTACGAAAGTGTAACCTGAGCTGAAGGGCGGTAGTAAGAGAATAATACAAACCCCCGGAATTTTCTCCTTTACTGGATAGTGACACAAATCTCTTCTGCGGTTCTGCATGATCAATACAAGGAAAGGTTCTGCTATGGAGGAATAACAGCATGGGCTTTTGTTTCTGATTCAAACACTTGCAATGCCAAATTTAGGATCAAAGAAGAAAAACAATCTATCCAGAATGGATAGACATGTCCAGGACTTGCCACAGGTAAGATTTCAGCTGAGAAATAAATAAATAGAAGGAAAGTGCGATAATTTCCTTTGGCAACAAATGTCATGCACTTATGTACCATTTGAACTATGGTTTAAAATACATTATTTTGCAGATGAGTAAGAAATGCTTTCCTGGATTTTTAATTCCAGAAACAGATATGTTATTTTCATTAACGTCACAGTATCATGGGCTGTAGTTCTGTTTCTAAGATTACCTCAAGCATTTCTTACTTCCTCTATTCAACTTGACTTCCCTAATCTTGGTACTTCCCCATATTTGCTAAGTTTGTGTCTCTCAAATCTGACAGACAATGACTAATTTACAAAATGTATGTTCCTCCAATAGTGTATTTTAGACATGGTGAGTGCTTTTACTGACCTTTAAGTTACACATGGCATGACCTGCTCAAACTGTGGCAGAGAAAAATATCATTTTTCTCATTAAACATTTATCTTATTGGATTGCATTTAAGAGAACAATTTATAGATAGTACACAAATTTGGGAAATGGAAATGTTTACTTGTTTTAATCACTAACAATAACCATTCAGGTATGAGAAAAAAATAAGTAAGACCTTTTAAGAATATTAAATACATAAGAAGTTGAGTAATTTCTTCCTTTCATTTGCTTTCAGCTGAGCAATGAGATGCAGCTTAGCATCATGAAAAGGGTAAAGAATGGCGAGTTATCCATCGATGATGCTCTGGACCAGGCAAGAAAGGGCAGGGACCAGCCCCTCAAGCTACCGAACGCTCCTGAAGAAGTAGGTGTCTAATTGGAAGACAAAAAAAAACAACAACTTATTATTAACAATTCTTCCGTTTGGAAACATCATGAAATTATACTGATAATGGATGTTATAGCTAATTGTTAAAAAAGTACAGATCTTTGTCATTGCTTGTAAAACTGCTTTTCAGGTTCCCTGATTCGCCCATAAACATTTGCATTAGCTACTGTTTTCTCTGGCAATGTCTAGATATCCCTCAGGCTATATGTTTACAAACAATGTAATCGACTTACTTATGAATATAGTTTCCATTAAAAGTTGGTGGGAACCAAACAGACAACTAAAAGACGAGTCCATATAGACTCAAAACAAAGTACTGGTAGTTAAATAAAAGATTCTAGCAGTTGTATATGACAGTTGTATATGTGATTATGACCAAACTAATCATATTCTCAGAGCCAGTAATATGCTCATGACTGTGTTGACATCGAAACATAACTAATGGTATTGCAGTTTTTAGAAATATTTACGGTTTATTGATGAGTAATTGCTTGGGGTTTGTCTTCATTTTGGCTCTTGCTCTGCAAATTATACTAATCATCTCAATGAAGCAGCTGCCTGTCAGCCATGTTGTCATAACTTTGCTATGCAAATAGACTACTCAGTTTGCTGGATCAGATTTGAAAGAATACTATTTTTATACTCTTGTTTCCTTGAGTCTAAGGAAGCAGTGGGGAAGGAGGAGTCAGCTTTGTGAGATCTTTTTTCATGAGGGAAGTGGGAGGGAAGACTTGATTTTTATTAAAAGATTTAGTAGACATAACAGAAAAACTATTTAAACAAAATAGAATTAAACAAAGACAACAACTGTCTCTGCAGCTTATGCTTTCCCACCTTGTCTTTTCTAGACAAAGTAAACCAACTTGATTATTTTGATGTTGTTTCAGGAGCCACCACCGTCACAATTCAACTTCAGTGTTCACAAGAACAGTCGCTACAGGTGGCAGAAGAGGATCCTTCAGGTAAGCAAACAGCAACAGCAATGGATTTAACTTTTGAGGTGCATTTTCCCTCTAGCTGATCATTCATGCTGCATTTACACATTCACTTACACTGCACATTAATCCGTTTTTACAGCCTATCAATGCTGCACATTTAAACATTAATAAATGCTTTAGCAGACAATGTGGGTTTCAGTGTCTTCTCCTAGAAAAGTCAACATGCAACCCAGGAAAAGCTGGGAGGGAAATCACCAAACTTATGTCTGACATACGGATGCTGTTTTTCCTGAGCTACAGGAAAGAGGAAAGCAAAGCAAAGACTCTTTAAAGCTGCTTATAGGCAGAATGATGCTTAGTTAGTCAGCATGACAGTAGACTGATAAATCGAAGAGTACACGTTTGACCATATCAGCAATCTAAGCATAACCCATTAATTTTCTACTCAGAGTAAGGCTCTGAACAAAATAAAGCTGAGACCAGTGATATTAACAGATTTGTATGTTTTACTACTTGCCTGTATACATTTCAGACAGGCATACTAATGGACCTTGATTAAAACTCTCCCTTTTTGAACGCCTAGATTGATTTCAAGACCAAAATGGTGTGCAGCATAGAGAAAGGCATCGTCAAACGCCAACTTCCTTTCTCCGCTGTCAAGAGTTGTGATGATGGAGTGGGGTCGAGGTTCTCAATTTCCTTTAAAGCACATCATGACTATGAACTGGAGGCCACATCACTGGAAGACAAACATAAGGTAGATTTACACCTTTGTGGACACATTTACTGTGAGCCATCAAGACAAAGTGTGTGAAAAAAGCAATGATAGTGATATATTTCATACATGAACATTTAGTGATGGGTGTTTTCGATAGCTGTTTAACATCTGTATGACCTGCTGCTTTGTGCAGATGATGCAGCTTGTGAGTCAGATCATTTACGGGAACATCTACCATGATTCCGAAGAGGACGATGCAGAAACACACCGACAGCCTTCGGTGTCACACAGCCTTCGAGAAGGAGTTTTATTGCTGCACAGAGGTGGCCTGGCTTCATTCAAATGGGTGAAGTACGGATCTGTCCTCACTGAATTGAAATATCATTGAGCGAAGTGTGGTCTGATTGAATTTTTTGAATGATTTATATAACTAATGTCTATTGGCTAAAATTTGAGAAAGGTAATATTTGAAATTCTGTCACAGAATGTTATATTCCTTAAGCTAAGTGCTATCAGTTTCTTTGAACAGGTTCATTTCATTTCATTTAATTCACTATAATGTGTAAATAATCTTAAAAGTCTTAGCAAAGAGACATGGTTTTATTTCTGAACAAAGTGAGATTAGTTTCTTATGTAATTCGAGGGACTTGATTATTAGATCTACTCATATGTGGTAATATATGGAGTATTTCCCAAAGTGTGGGCTGATTTTATATTCTTTTGTGAAAATTGTAGATGTTGAACTAACAATTGCCGTTGGCAACATTCTTATATATTGGCATGATTGATTTTTACAAATATTTTGCAGACCAGTCTTGTGCAGAAAACTGTGGGCTGACCATTGCATAAAAAAACATGCATGTTGATTTAATGTAAATATCCTGCACGAACTGCATCAGACAGTTATTGCAATTGTGTGTTAAAACCACTATTTCCAAAAACATTTTTTTGCTTGATATAAGCCAGGAAATGGTCCTTAAAGATAGATCGGCAAGCTGTCTGAACATAGTTTGGAATCTGCTTTGGATATTTCGAGGTTTGGAATTTATTTATCAAAGTTTTAGTTATTTTTCTAGAGAATTGCTCTTGGAACATGCTCTTGTTTGTTAGCTACAAAGACAATGAATAAATGTAACAGTGGATGCTATTAGTAATTCATTTATAAAAAAGTAATCCAAAGATGTGACAGATAACTTTGCAAACAGATGCATTTTATTACATATTTGATCCAATGATATATTTAACATGGATTCATCTTATTGGGTCCATGGTAAAGTAAACCATGAAGAATTAAAAACAGGGAGAACAGGCTAAAAGAATACTGAAAATCAGTTGATTTCAGATTTCAGAGTGACAAATCCTGTCCAGTGTTTTAAAGTAGGAATTATCTAATTATAGCCGTGTTGATGTTCCCTATTATTTTCTGTGAACATTACTAAGGACTGCACTTAATACCAACGGTAAGCAGCTACAGTTCAGGTTTAGTTGTTTAGACCTGCACTACCTATCACTCTTCCATTTTGTTCCAGATATGAGGCCCAGCTCCATCCAGGTCAGTTAACACTGGTACCGCTCAGGCAACGAGCTCCCGCAGACGGCGAGCTGACGTCCTCGGTGCCCCGGTCCATCGTGATTCACCTGTCAGACGGGGACACCAGCGTCCAGAAACCCCACGGCACGGACACTTTCACTTTGATCACCCACAAAAATGAGTACCAGTAAGTCCATTTTCCTATTATGTGTCTAAATATCACTAAAAGAAAAAGTTACACATCTTTTTTATGTAACTGCCTGGAACGAAGATGCATTGGACGAGGTTTTTGTTGATGTGTTACAGGCTCAGGGTGCCCATACAAGATCAAACAGCTGCTCCTGGTTCTGTGCAGAGGGAGCGGGACGCCTGGGTTCACGCCATAGACAGACTGTGTTCGGACTGGAAGAGGAAGTCCAGGTCCGAACACATGTTTGCGGAAACAAAGACTTTCAGACACTGCAGCATACCAGAAGATAGAGAGGACAAAGAATCAGACCTTGAGTCCAGCGGTGAATTTGGTGGTGTAATTTATCCTCCACCGGGCAATAAAGATACAGATCCGTCTTTCAGTGAAACAACTCAACCTTCAGCTGATTCTGCAAGGCCCATCCCTAAACCTCGTACTGCCAAGGCTGCTGCCCAAGTCAATGCTCCTGATATTTTAAACCCCATCCAATCGCCAACCCCAAGACCACTGTCCTCCTCTACCCCCTCCCCTTGCCCAGCTGAGGCAGGCAGAGCCTCTTCTACAGGCTCTGAGGCTCAGGAATCTGGTTCTCCAGTTATGAAAAGGCCTCCACCATTGAACATCCCACCCCCCCCGCCTTTACCCCCCAGACTGACAACAAATTTGAAAAAAAAACATACCAAGCCATTCCACTGGGATCTCATCGGCTCAGAGAAGGTAACGTCACTTTTGGTTTATCTATCCAAAAATATACTGAACTCTTTTCTTAGCTATATAACATTTACAAACATTTGTGACATTGATTTATTCATATTGATTGTATTGGGAAAAGTCTTAGGCAACAGCCTCTTTCTTCATATATTGTCAGGAAAACACAAAGGAATAGAACATCTAAGGCAAAAGCAGTTTGTGCAATTCCTGTTAGCTGGAATTCAGTATTTAACATGGTTTATACTAGAACATAGTCCCTTCATAAGCAGTGTTTGGGAACTGAAGACACCCCAGGCTTCCTGAAGGACATCCCAAAGCTATTTCTTTGGATGACGGCTGAATTCTGTTTCCTTCTCTGTCAATTATCCCAAACTGCCTAAATACTGTTGAATAATGTCTTAAAAACAGTTTCTTGGCACTCACTCCTTCCTGGAGACCCATTTCGGATGTTCCTTTGGCAAATAACAGATGGATGCATCAAGTCTTGCTGGATCTTTTCCTAATTCTTTAGGTTTCCACTTTCAGACACTTTATCAGCTGTGGGTAGTTAGCCAAGTACTTTCTCTCTGGTATTATTCCGACATGTAAATTAAAGAATTTAAATCAAATTCCTAAAGAAGCAGTTTACATATTTCTAATCCTAATTACATATCTTGATTTTCAGTGCTATTTATCAAGGCCAATTCAAAAGATTACAAAGCATTCTGGCTCTTTTGAGGCTAAGTAAGATTAAAATAGGGGTGGAGAGATGGGGTGGGTGGTTCTGTAGTTTTAGCAAAAACAGAAAAAAACATTTTTGTTAAGGTTACATTTTGTTAGTTCAAATCCTGCGTCAGTGTAACATATTTTGTGTGTTCTGTTATGATGGAAATACTTCGTTTCTGGTCTAAATCAGTCTCTTTCTTAGCAGATTGCAAAATCCATTTGGACACAGGACAGCGGCAGGAGGATTAAAATCGATACGTCGCGCTTGTATGAGCAGTTCGCTGTTAAAGATCTGGGGATGTTTGGTGCCGCTGAGCAGAGTAACACCCAGGAGATAATGCTCAACCAGAAGATTGCACACAATTTCAGTGAGTTGTTCTTTGGTAACTACAATGAAAAAAATCTAAGGTCGTCATAAATGTAATTGGTGACAAAAGATCCTTTTCAGCCCCTTTCACATTTGGAGTAGGATTTCCCAGCAGACTAATTAGTGTCACATCCAGGCCGGCATTCCAGATTAAAACAAAGGAGCTCTTTGCTCTTTGAATACGACAAAGAAAATGGGCTTTCACTTCCACTAGAGGGGAGCAGCACACAGAGTAGCAAAGATCTGGACAGCTGCAGGCCATTTGATCTTCACAAGCCCAAAAAGAAAGGATAGAAGATAATAGAAAAATAATGTATTCATCCCACATTGGTGGAAATTTAGATAATAATAAATAAGATTACTAAATGATAATCTGGAGCAGTTGTCAGGGGAGTTCAGAGATGTTTAGCAGTTTTTCACCTGAGGCAAAAAGATGGATGCTCTATATGACCAGCAGGGGGCAGTGTGTCACCAGTCTCTGCTGCCATAATTAGAAGTGAGACCTGCAGAGTGATTGTGTGAGGTGGAAAATATTCTATATCTCAACTAATGGCTTTTCACTTTTGATTAACCGAGGCTTGTATATTTCAAGACTCCACCTAAGGGGGAGCATTTCAGAAGCTGCTCCTCCAGGGTCCTCAAAGTAGCACAGTCACCGGGAAGAAATACAGATGTGGTTTTAGTCGGCTGGTAAATGGAATGAAGTCACTTCACAGATGGGCGACATAATGAGAGTTCACATGTTCATAAAATATAAATAAGGAGGATCTAAACGACAACAGTTGTGATATCCTGCCCTCATATAGACCCCTCCCCCACATATGGAAATATTCCTCCCTCCCCTGACTTGTTCACTTTTAGTTGTATCAAGAGCAGGAGTTGAGTGATGACAACTCGAGGGCATGCATCTTTCTGATACACGCTTTTGTAAAAATAGGAGATTCGATAAACAAGGGAATCTGCCTGTCTTGATATTTTTTGCTCTTTGGTCTACTAACATCAATAAAGAAAGTTACATCTCAATTCTCAGTGATGAAGTAGGTATAAAAGAGATCCATGGCCTGAAAATGTCACTAAAGTCAACAAGAAAGAGCCAAATCAGCAAAGAATACTTGCATTATCAAAAATGATATCCACACTCCACAAAAGAGGCTCCTTCATATTCTGAAATATTCTCTGTATTGCAATATTAGATTATTATCAAATAAACTTTGGTTTTAGACTCAATTCAAACAGTTGGATTTTGAAATGGATGCATACACAGACAGAACAACAGCATTTTCAGAAAAAGAGACAGAAAAAAATACATTGTTTTTCCTTTTCCAAATTTGGAACATATACCCTCAAATGAATGAAAACCACATGACATGCCATGATTTTATTCATTGAACAAAAACAAACCAAAATGTGGAAGTAACATTCAATTTAGGGCAGCATCATTGTCTCTTATAATGGGGGAGAAATCTTCACTCTATTTTTAAGACATTTCTTCAGTGTGCCCATAAACCCTTCTGCAAAATTGAGATTGAGAATAATTTGGTATAAAGAGAAGCTTGTGGTCAATCAGCTCAAGGTGCCAAAGTCATTTGGTGTTGAAAAAAGTTTAACAATTTTCTCTTCCCTCACAGTGCTTGGCAGTTTTTGGTGGGAATTTGTGCTGATATTTGGTTTGCCCCGACTGTGCTGCTGTGCATTCTGACCAACCTTTCTGTTCAATCCAGCCAGCCAGAGACTTTCTGAGGCAATCCTTTCAAACAAGTTATACTTGTTCAGTCTTCTAATTGTACCGTCATAAACTTTCAAATCTAACATGCTAAACCAAGTTCTCTGGACTCTGAGATGTCGCTCTTTCATTTGTTGAAGTTTCTCTGAAAACTAATAGTCTCATTGTAGGAGGAACCTGCTGGGAACATTTGCATCTTTTCTTTCTATAGAGAAGGGACCTCACACTCTGGAACTAATTTCTGTCCTGAATGTTTAAGTCTAGAAAATAACTTATTAATACTTTTAAAGAGATATATCAGTCTAAATCAGCTGAAAACATCTAAACCCGGGAGGAAAGTGACCATTAAGGACTGGAGTTTGAGATCTCCGCTGTAGAGGAATAGTTTCCAAATTTTTCAGAATAAGAGATCAGAATAAAAAATGGCTTTATTGAACTAATGTACACAGGAATTTGACCTGGTTTCCCAGCGCAACAGGATTATTTAAATAAAATAAAACAAATTAACAAAGAAAAGGTTAATATGTTATGCTCAGGTGTTCTTAGGTGACTGTATCTTTAAGTGTCTGTAGAAGTGGCTGGAGGGTGGCCTGGGGGGAAAAAACTGTCTAGGTGCCTGGTGGTGTTGGTAACCTTGGACCTGATGGGAGGGGTGTGAACAGGGAGTGAGCTGGGTGAGATGGGTCCCCCACTCTGCCCTCTGCTGGGATCTTCCATTGTGCAGAACACACACAGGAGTATAGGTCTTCATAGAGAAACAATTTTCTTAGAAACCTTCTTTCATTGTTGGTCAGCACTAACAGTTTCCTTAGAATAACTGTTAAGGAGTAGTTAGTTTCTCTGTTCTTTTACTAGCATCTTTATACATGTAGCCTTAAAATTTAAAGAGGACGTTCTACTAAATCTATAAACTCTAACTGATTCATACATCAAAAAGAAAATATTTTCCTCTCCGAACTTGAATTTTAAGTTTATAAAATCATGAACAGGTTTAACTAATGTAAGCGATTCTTTCTCTATCAAGAGCCACTCATACAAACACTCCTAATTCTTGCTTTTATGTTAATCAGAACAAAAAAAGGCTAAATTGCCTGCTCTTATTCTTCTTATTCTTCGCACCACTATTCATTCCTCTGATCCCTCGACTCAAGGTGCAAATGTTCAAGTAAATCCGCATTCTTTTCACAGATATGAGTAACAGCTCAGCAGACAGTGAGACTGTGTCTGTCAGATAATATAACAACTATTGATCAATAATTAATGAATGCACAGAGGTGACAATTAAATCAGGAAAAAAGCTACTTCCCCCTATCGTACTCACACTGGTATACACATGCATAATGGTGTGTGAAAATGGTGTCAGGTTGAAGACCTGGCTGTGCTTTTGACTAGTTTAACCCAGAAATAGGAATCTCAGCTGCATCTATCCTTGGACTCATTACATTTTTTAAGTGAGACGTTTGGCAACGAGCTGGTTTCCCATATTGCTATTTTCTTTGTTTGCATTCTTTAGGAAACAATAAACCCCTTTCGGCCCTTATGAATTCTAATCTCAAACACTATTGCATATCCATTTAAAAATGCTCACACTTTTATTTATACAGTGGTGAATACCCTAGGTCAGATAACAAAAAAAAAAAGATCTGAATTCCCCCAAAAGTGTCACAAGAATTGATTATTTTTTAATCAGATGAGACACACCTTTTTTTGTATGTATGTATATTCATGCATAAGTCTGTTTTTCAGCCTACTCGATGATAATGTGAATGAAAACAAATTTCCTAGTTCTCTCTGTTTTTTTTCTAATGACTGTTTTCTTTCTAGCATAAGATAATCATGATAACAACAAATAATTAGCCAACATCTTATGTCTAACAATAAGACGGACACTTACCAGGATTAACCTCACTGCTGGTAATGTGCAGACTGGTCATGATAACAAAAGTGCTTTTACACATTTCTGTTGAAATAATAAGTTAGCTTGTTTTTCAGCATACATATGTTAATCAGCCTTTCACCGCTGTTGCCATGTTCATACATGGATTCCACCTTCTCTTTGCAAAAATATGTGCAAATATCTATTCAGGAATAAAGAGAATGCACACCGATTTCTCAGTCATTGCACTCCCTTACAAGGCCTGATGTGCATTATATTTAGTACCGTGTTTCAATTCAGTTTCCTTTATTGGCTGAATTTTTAGGTTGAGGAAATTACCGACATGTACACAGTGTGGTCAAGATGCAGACGATGTGAGACAATGTGCAAACACTGATTGCCATTCTCTTTTTTTCCTATTTTTTTTGTGTATTTTCTGATTTTCTCTTTGTCCTTTGCAGAAAATCTTTTTAAAAAGACAGTGTGGGCTCACAATTAAAAGTATACCTGCTGCTCTGGCTATCGCCAGAGTAGCCTACATGGGCTACTCATCTTTGATTTATCATCGATACCAAACAGAGGTGACAGTATGGTGTTAAGTGCCAAATACAGCAAGAGAGTGTTAACAATGAATTGTTGTAAAAATCTATTTGTAAAACATTTAGTTACTTTAGACAAATCTCTGAAAAGTCTAAAGGACTACTTATCCCGTATTACAGCTAGCTTTTAGTGACATTCTAATAAAAAACCTGAGTTTTTAAAAGTTTAGAAAACCTTATTTCGGGACTGTAGTTAGAGCCAGTTTCTTTGTACCACATATTCTTTTCCTAAAAATTTGTAATGATATAATTTATCAAAACAATGATAAGGGGTAGCGCTCTCTTTATCTCAGGAGGACAGTGTCCAGACCCCCTGTTCCTCCATTAATTCTGCCAATGTAAAGTGCTGGAAACAAACATTAATCCAACTACAATATTGTTAAAACTTCATGTAAAATCCTGAAATTGGAGTCCTAAAAAAAAAAGTACAGTACCACAGATACAAAATACAGGAAACATAAATAGTTTCTGTAGTTAAACGAGAACAATTGTGGATTTTGTATGATCAAAGTGCATTTCTATAATGAACCTGTGTTCAATTAATGTGGTTATTTTTTCTCGAGAACCCCACTGCATGCTGCCTACTTAATGACTTCAAATGTCGCGGTCCTAATTAAAAGTACACCTGTGGTGTCCAGCACCCTGTGGGATGCTGCCTCCATCTTTAATTTGTCAGGGCAATGCCCAGTTTGCCTGAGTGTCAGTCAACAAAAGGCTCAGTTTCCACGTACAGTAAAAATGTGCATGTGAACCTATTCTTTGTAGGGAGGTGCAGATGAGACTCTTTGATGTTGATATTTCTTATTAAAAAATTAGACTTGAAAGCCTCTAATGGTTTTGGTAAGGGAATTATAGTCTCTAGTATCTATAGTCAAGAATATTGATTGAATGGGTTATTTGAATCTTACACTTGATTGCTGTTTAATTGTATTTACTTGATTCAATGGCCATGAGTGAATACTGTGAACTTGATGATTTGGATGTAGCTTTCGGCCATCTGTGCAGATGTGTGGTCATTTGCATTGTTACATCCCAGAAAGAGGAAATCTCACTTCCTGGCTTGGGTAAATTATGTTAAATGTGTATGTTATTTTCATGCAGGTGTTGGTTCTCTTTGGTTATATGAACTAGTTCTTATAAACTGACCATGGAAGTAAACACAGTCTTTTTTTGGCCCAGTCAAAGTCAAATAACATATATATATATATATGTTAATTAAGTAAACAAAAGATTCGACAAATAAACAACAAAAAAGTACCAACAAAATGGAAGGTATAATGACAACTGATGAGCTAAGAAATTACTATAGAAAAGCATTGCTCTAAATTTAAAAATGGTAACTAGTTGAATACAGAACTGCAAGGGGAAACACTACATAAACAGGTTTTAAAGTGAAAAATAATTTGATAAGAAAATCTAAACAAAAACAAAGAAATTAAAACTAAATTGAAATGGATAAATTGGGTGAAAAATGCATGAGCTACTTTGTCTGACCAAAGTAGCTCATGCATTTTTCACCCAATTGATCCACCTATTGTCAGTATTGAGCCAGGAAAGTGTTGTCTTAGTTTAACAATAAGCTTTGTCTCTCTTAAGCCAGCCAGCTTGTTTTACAAAATATTTAAGCTTGCCTTTGACTAATATCTATACTGCCAACTTTAAAAGAAAACAGTTGTAATAATGGTCATGAAATTGAGCGCTTTATGCTTGATATTTGTCAAGAAACACTTTGTGGTGTGAATCGATTTTAAACTAGTCATTATGCTCTTCTGCTGAACGTAGCTCTTTTAGAACTAAGATGTGGGATGAGTTTCCTCAGACTATAAAGAAATGCAAATATAAATCTTTCCAGAACCAACAAACTCTTCCTAGGATATGAAAAACATAGTTTCAGTTACAGTTATTAACATTATGAAGCCAATTATGATTTGGCTATTTTTATTCTATACTACCTTCAGAACCTCTGCCTTGCGAAAGACACTAAGTAATACGTACATGTCTTAGGCATAAAACTCCTAATGAATGCTTCCCACAGCTCCTGAATTATGCAGAGACATTTTCTATAGAACAAAAAAATCCCATCAGCTTTGACTTGATGGAATGCAAATTTGTGCATTTCCCCTAAGGCATTCGGGAGAAAGTAATTAAGCACAGGACCCTTTGTCTTCGGAATGCTTTTTGAGTCATTTCATCGGCGGATAAGAGGACTATCTGTCAAGAGGAAAAGCTTTCATGTACCGTCGAGAGTGTTGACTTTTTTTCTAATGGATTGTTCTTCTTAGACATTTTCCTCAAAAGTTTCCCGGTGCAACCAGGGGAGCTGAAGGACAAACTGTTCATCATTAACGAGGAGGACGGAGGCCTGTCTGATGAGCACATCACCTCTCTGAGAAGGTACGAATTCGCGCCAAAAAAATGCTGATTTGTAGTCATTCCTCATAGCGTCACAATTGAAAGCTGAGAGTTGAATTACTTTTTTTGAGCTCCAGTCAGAGAGTGGGTGTTGTATGCGTGCTAGAAGGGGCTTAGCAAAATAATAATCAAGGGTGTTAGTGCATGGTACAGCAAAGACTAAATGAAACAGGGGGAAACAGCCAGTTGGTGAAAAGGAAACATGTTATGTCCAGTGCTCTTCACAGTGTTCTTCTATTAAAGAGAAGCTTTTATCAAAACGGCCCACTGATAAATGTTTTATCTGGTTATTTGCGGACATGGAAACTATTGACATGCCCTCAGGAACAGGACACTGAAAGCGGGTAAAATGCTTCCTGATTCGTACCTGCTGTTTGCTCGGTGGCTTCGGATGTTGACCTCCCGGAAGGCAAGAGTGATCTAACGTACTCTGTACTCGGCATTTTTATTTATTCTATGAAAACTTAATATATATTTTAATGTGCAGTGGCATGGGCTTGAGGAATACAATCCTGAAAGAAGTACTCCCAACAGTTTCTGTAATATTCATGACTGGTGCTACTCCTACGGTGCACAGGCAGACTTGTCAAAGAATTAATTCCTTTAGTTTGAGGTCAGAGCCCTCAGAAATGACGGGGAGAAAGAGCCCCCATTTTAAGTGGAAGGGGTTCAAAGTCTGTGCCAGTGAGTGCATCAGTTCTTCTCAGCTTCTTGCTCCTTTATAAGGGGACTCAGCTCAACTTGGCTTTTGTCATATCTCCAGGCCACTAGAAATCAATCAAATGGCTTCGGCACAAGAGGGTAAGTGAAGGAGTGTGTGATGAGACAAAAAGCCAAATGGAAAAGCGAAAAATGAAAAAGAAATAATGTTGATTTATTATATTTAAATCAACCTCGATACCCTGAATGTACTTTTTGGAGAGCTACATTTTATGAAGTTCTCCTTTTTGACACACTCTAATGTGATAAAATTCATATGAAATGGTCTTGGAGAGACCCAAGTAGGGTATAAAATATTTACAAGCCAAAATCAGATAATGTTGGAACATTATGAAGACAAAGCAAAGTGTGAATCTAACCTGTATTGTCTGAAATTTGTACTTTCAAGCCTACAGTGGAGCTTTTCCCACTATCTATAGTTACCATTCCATCTCACAACCAGGGATTGAGGACTTATATCCTTTGACAAGTTTTCTAAAGCTGTGGAAACACACACCTCTGATCTTATCGATTAATGGTCTGAGAGGTGCACTGTAAATAAGAAGTGACACGCAACCAAACCTTCAAATGAGTCTCACAATGTACACTTTTAACACTGTTGTACCAAAAATGATCTTCTTTCAGACAGTGACTTACAAATGTATAACTTATAATATGTAAAAAGAAGAAGCAGACGCAACCTGTCTGTCTTTGGAGGGACACCTCTGCTGCACAGCTTAAAATCTCTCTCTGTCTCTGTCTCTGACTCGATTTGTTTTGCTTCTCTGTTTCTGTAGCTGTAACTGTGAGGCCGTGAGCTACCTGCGAAAACATCGCAGACATTCTATCTTGCGAAATCTTACAGAGATCTTTATCTAGTTTCGAAGGTGTTTTTTTTTCCTGATGGTACAACTGTTATAACTTCTGGATTTTACCAAAGCTAAACAGCAGTTTTAAAACCATCACAGGGTGACCGAGAGTTGACATTTTGTCTTTATAGTTTTTATTTTTAGTGACAATTTCAGTAATTATCTACCATCTTATCTGTAACCAACATATCCTCCCATAAAAGACACTTAGCACCATAGTTTTTCTTTGAGAAAGCCTTGATAGAAAACAAAATAAAAAGTTAATTCAGTTGGATCAGATATATATTAACAACAAACCATGTCCCTTTGAATTTGTCCTTCCAATTACAACACAATTAAATAGATATTCTGACATGGAGGGTACATAGCAACAATATGCTTCTGGTGCTTTCAACCTTCTTTCTCCCTGATAACTCAACAGGACTGTGTCAGGTTATTTGAATCTTCTTTACAGGAGACAGATCACCACTGCAGGCAGGGTCATTTTCAATTTCTTCTCCCACTACTATGTGCCCTAATGTGTGCCAAATAGGGATTTGCTTTTTATTTTTGTTAATAAAATCCATGGAAAAGACAGAATTGATGTAAAACATGTCATAAAAGCATCATAATGAATGGAAGTAGAGGTCTTCTGTTTCCAGTGTGATGCATGGATATAGTTGTTCAAAGCACCCACAATTACTGTAGATAGGAGTATATGTGGAGAATTCTATAATAGGAAGTAAAACTAGAAAGAAAACCAAATCATTTTTATTTTATCATGAAGTTATGTTAGGTTTAATGCTAAATTATGTGGCTTCTTTTTCCTTCTCACCCTCATAATTGGGCTATCAAAATGTAAGTTTGTATGGTTTCAATGTACATGATTTCTAAATACAGTTTTGTAAGCAGGAAAATTCATGTGTATAATTTCTTGTATGTATTTATTTGAGCACAGCATTTTTTCATTGCCGAGTTTTAGTTGTATGTATGAATATTATCATGTACTGTAGTGTGTGGCAAATATTTCCACCAGCAGTCCCTTGGCTGTGTGGATAAATGAGCTTTAGATGAATGAATGCTTTCACACAGTGGTGTGGGACGGATTGACTCCCTTACCCTGTAAATTGTTTTATATCCTAAGATTTTTTGAGTGAAATAGCAAATCTGTACCTCCTCTTTGAAATACATTGCTCTTTTCATTTCATTTGCACTTCAATGATTTTCTCCTTGCAACATTTAAAGAGAATTTCACATAAAAACTGTCAACATCACCTGACTGAAATTACATAAAATACCATGTGGTATTTCACGTCATCTGGTTTGTAGTCTGTGGTTCGTGCTGACTCTAGTTGCAAATGCAGATTTTTACTAATTTTGCTTTGAATCTAATTTTTCTCACTGTTCATTTGTTGGGGGTATATTGGAACTGAGCATGCGGGCTTGCCTCTGCTCTATTTGAGAGCCTGTGCAGTTGTGACTTTGGGACATTTTTCTTTGTAATTAGTTTACATTCGGTGGTGGCTTCTCTGTGTGTGGTTTGGATTGGGAGTCATTTAATCCTCGAGAGCGTTTTTTGCTTGTTTTATTTCCTGCAAGTTAGACTTGTTCCTCAAATGTGAAAAATGATTCCTCTTGTTCTGATTTTCTAGTGATTTGAATTTAACGTCCTGTCATTATTTTCTGTCCCAATTTCTTAGTGTGATAACCCCAAAATTACCAACATGACACATTTGATGTCAGTTTTCCTTTCCCCCCAGCGGAGGTCTTAATACAACACATTTTGAATCTGTGTCACTGTAGAGAAAAAAGATTTATTTTTTTAAATCTGTGCATCTGTTAGTGTGGATCTGATCAATTTGGTTGATTTTGACAAAACAATCCATCTGCTCACATCCCTAAAGTATGACTCATCTTTTACAAGTTACTGATCCTCATTATGGATCAGTAACTTCAGAGAGCTGATTCAAATCAGATGTTATGGATTTTAGATAACTGGATAACTGTATGCTAAACAAGTTTTACATATCTGTGACATTTTTCTTTTGTCTTACAGGTATGTCCCCACCATGGATGATGTGGAAATGTACAAATCTCACAAGGGACCTGTTTCTGAACTGCATAATGTGGACCAGTACATGTTGGAGGTATAGTTTCCAGCTCCATTTAATCAAACCCAATCATTTTCTTGGCAAGGCTAACTCAGAGAACCAGGCACTTGTTCAAACTCCGAAGTCAAATCTCTCTCGCATTGCTAACCACCTCTCAATTAGATCCGTGATTATGGTAATGAGGATAGCAAACATCCCTGGCCTGACTTCTGATACCGTGACCCGAGCAGAATCCTTTTTTACATTCACCGCTCATGTAGCACCTTCTGTGGGAGAGATGCTGGAGTCTTCATTAACCTTCCTCCTCATTCACACGCTGTGGGTGTTATGAGGAGCTTCATCTGGCTATCACTTTCCAGCCAGCCAGGCAGTCAGCTGGCTCGCATGTAGATTACCCGAGGTTGCAGGAGGGGTAACAGATGAACAGGCAGATAAAGCCTCTGACAGAGGCTGACATCATAAGGGGCTTTCATAAGCAACTGTTAATGCCTATGACAGTTTCTCGCACTCTAGTTCAAGAATGCTGTCTTTCTTTTTTTACTTAATAGACAATTTGGTTCCTACCTTAAGCTGGTATTAGAATATTTTCACTGAAAAGAAGCTAAGATAACATCAAATGAAATTGGCAGTTTTGGAACTGACTGCTCCCTCCTTTGGGTATTCTGCATTTTCAGTCATTCCACACATTTTCACCCAAAACCTGCTCAATTATGAATGAGAATTAAAAACAGCGTCACATTCCCTATGAGTCATCAGAGTTTCTCAATTTTTATCATCGGAATCACTTAGTCAAGTGATGATATCCAAATGTTCTGGACCATTTTCTATTCGTATTACAGTATCTGTGCTGTGCTGGTAAGTAGCTTGCAAATTTTGCAACCCGTTTTTTCACAAAATCTTAGTTTTTGAACTCCCCTAGGGACACAAATCTATTTTGACTAACCATTCCACTCATGTCACATTAGATATTTGCTTACAATAAAAGCTTTCACAGAGGTCTGACATCACCATTAAAAGGCAATGCTTTCATTCCTTGTTTGCATAAAAATATATTTTAGCCTATCCTGAGAGCTTTTCCTGGCTCACGGCTCGCATGCCAGTTCATAGCTTCATATAGTCCGCAATGTGCTCAGCCCTCAGAGAAAGGCATATTTTCGAGGCACAAAAGTGCAGTCCTGCCACTGAGCACTGATTAGCTGAATGTTGGTTTGAGCAGATACAGGTGACAGCTCAGCACGGAGGACAGCTCATCATCATTTCTCAATGCTTTGTTTCTCGCCACCACAAAACAGATCATCGCCAGAACAAAGACCACCCCACATCTCTGATTCCAAAAATTACTGATACTATCTCTAAGTGGCATCAAAACACTGCAAGAATCTGCAGATGTGTGTCTAGTCTGAAGATTTCTCTGAAGGTTTAAATGACGCCTGTTTGATTTCTGACTGTAATTTGAACATGTACAAATTAGAACAGGCAATAATGCTAATTTTACAATCTGTGCACGCAGCTGCCACTAATACAGATATGCCACACAAATAAAAACTGTTTAGAAACCTGCACTTTTCAGGACTATCAGGCCATTTTGAATTCTCCTCTCTCGAACAATTTTGTATGTTCAACTCTGGTTAGCTCTGAAACCTTTGTAACGGTTTAGCCTAACGTTTTTAAAATTGTTCATGTTGAACTAGGACATTAGGACATTTGGATTTCCATCCATTATTGTTACTGCTTATTCCCTAATGGGGTCATGGGAGGAATGGAGCCTAACCCAGTGGTCAATGGGTGAGAGGCTCGGTACACCCCGGATGGTTCGTCAGTCACATTTGGAATTGAACAGTGGATATCAAGTGGATTTCACTTAGGTTCATTTGTGCAGTGCCCACAATGGGATTGTCACCCAAACTTCAAACTTCCACCAAGCTTAACAGCTTAACAATCTTTCCAAGGGCATGTTTTTGATCAAGAATAGCTTTCTTTTTCTCTCCTATCATACATTTAGTGATTGTGGCCAAATAACTCAATTTTAACTTCATCTTCTTCAGACTGTGGCTTTTGTGATGAGGTCACAGGTAAGGTTTCCTTCTGATGTCTCCCTCTCACACATTCTTTTTTCTTTTAATCAATGTTGGACAATGAAAGGGCACTCCACCCAACCCCGATGAACTGAATACAGATGCTGGGTATATTTTTTCAAAATTGCAGATAGATAGATAGATAGATAGATAGATAGATAGATAGATAGATAGA